AATAGCTTTAAGTGACCTTAGTCGTAGCTTCGAGTTACGAAAAAACTTAGACTATATGCACATTATAATTTACGAGCAATAAAATAAAATAAAAAACTCATCTTGCTCATCTCTTACTCCATAGGTCCACCAGCGAAGATAAGACTAAATATCTTCTGCACCAATAAGAAGTCAAAAGTGTAGAGCAAAGAAAGAACTCTTCAACAACTCCAAGTATGTGAAATTAAGGGGGATATTTTGAAGCTTAATTGGATATTTTGGAAGATATATAGAAACTTGGTAGGGTCTAAAGACTATATATATAAACAATAAAGTAAAGCAAATAGTGTTGGAAGTTTGAATGAAATCCAAGACATCTTTTGCCTCATATTGATAGAATAGAGAAAGAGATTGGTTCTTATAATTCTGGAATGTGCCACACTTGGTAGATGGACAGTAGACCTAGTGGAAGTAATTTGAGCTTCACATTGGGTATGGACTTTAAATATTATGATTAATTATATTTTTTGTTACTGGGGTTTGCCTCGAAATCAAATTTGGTCATTGTGATTTTAATTTTTCCAATTTGACCACCGTACTTGGAATTTTATTTGGCTTTTGGTTATGGAATGTAATAATGAAATCAATGATACCCATTTGTTATTTAAAATTTTTCAGATTGGGGCATTCCAGAGTTCACTCCTCAAGAATTAGAACGGAGCCCCGTGTTTTCTGAAAATGCGAAAAACACATGTAAAGTTGTTTTCAATTTTACTACAATTTAACACCTCGTGATGTTATAAAAAAATTTAAATAAAAAAACAATATCCTGTGTTTTCTAAAGCCAACGCACCAAACAGATATATGCATGTTCTTGTTCTCAGAAAATAGAAAACACATTTGAAAAACGATATGGAATGGCCCTAATATATCATTTTTGAATTAGTCTCTTATAATTGTATTGCATGAGTGTGCCATTATTAGTGCTATTATTAGTGGCCCAATAGAAAGATGAATTTATTATAAGATGCGCTTCAAACAAATAGATTTCCAATCAAACTACTGTGCTCTAAGTGGAGAATTGACTTAAATTGGTTCTTTTCTATACCTCAATACAATTAAGGACTTTATTATTTTCCTAGTACAAAAACTAAAATAAAAGGAAAGCAAAATAAAGCAACAAAAGCGTGCCAAAACAAAGGGGTATGGCTGGAATCAAGACTATCACCACTTTAACTCGCCTCAGATTGCCTGGAAGCTCGTCAGAATGCCTGGAAAGTTCAAAGTTGGAGAACTTGATAGTTTGTCAGGACTCGAAAGTTAGTCAACAAGATAACTACAACTTGGGCAAGAAATGAGAACAATCACAACTTGAATGCCACGCTAGTTGGAAGTAGTACCACCATTTGGCATAGAAACAAAACTAATATTGTAGATGTTGTGTTTAAAGAAAGTTGGTATATCCAGTCAAAGTCGTTACTCATTGGGTTACTTTCGTTCTGTTTCCTACCACCCACGAGACTAGAACTTGTAGAAGGTGCCGAGTCAATGGCTTTAAGTCAATGTTTGTGCTTTTAAATTAGCTAGTTGGGGAGAAAGGCAGAGCAAAAGGTATAGAAAGCTTGATCAGTAGTGTTGGGGAGAAAGGCTTAGGCAGCTAAAGGTAATTTCTGTCTGCTTTTATATTATTGGCCTCAAAGTTTGATCAATAGCCTTGTTTTCTCAAAGTTGTCATACTAAATAGTAAAAGATACAATCCCACGTTCCTCACCCCTTCTTCCCTTCCCAACAACTAAAATCATCCTCCTTCTCTGCAATATTTTGAAATGATTTTAGTTGTTGGGCACTGAATTCGTTTTGGGAAGGTAGCAATTATGTCATGTGACTCACTAATTTTTATTGTCCCAGCCTGACCCACATATTCCAGCCCATGTGAGGGACCCTGGTTGGCTTAACATTAGCTTTAAGCCCTAATAATTTGGGCCGGCCCATTGATAACTCCTAAATTAATTAATTAATCCAAACCCATCATCATCTACTAGAGAGATGAGAAGTAGAAACAAGAAAAATGGACATTTGCACCATATTTTATGCTTATTTAGTTATATTAAATATGTAGATGCTGATTGAAAATCTAATATTCTTTACCAATGCCAAACCCTAGCCCCCTTTCTATAAAAAAAACTCTCTGAGGGCCGTTTTCATTTTGACTGGGAAGGAAGTCATGGTTCTTTCTTCCCTCTCCCCTCTTCTCTTCCTCCCTCTATTCTTCCCTCATTTTCAAAGACAAAAGGTTTTCGTCTTCTTTTTGTAATCTTGGTGTCGGATCTCCACATGCGCTTCAACGTCGGATCTTTACCACCATCTTTTTTGTTGTTTCTTTATATTCGGAATAAGTCACAAAGACTCTTTGGGTTCTCTATGTAGTTTTCACCTCTCCTTTTGCAAGACCTTTACATCTCTCTTTTCTGAGACCTTTTCATCTCTCCTGTCTGAGACCTTTTCATCTCTCCTTTGTAAGAGTTTTATTTGTATTGTTATGACTTTGTTTTTTCAAGCTTTTTCTCTTTTTGATTATTTTGTTAGTTTGTAATGGCCATTTGTAGTTAGTTTGTATTAGTCCCTTGTGGCTAGTGGCTTTTTTGACTGAATTATGAACACAATCCTAGAATTTCTCAACAACAACAAAATCTAATATTCTTTTAATGGTGGGTTGATAATTTTTGAGATTTAAAGAAACGTTGAAGTAATTAGGAGGACCTACTAGATGAGGTACTCGTTTTTTGAACCAAAACTTGTTGTACTATCCAAAGCTTGAGAATTAATTCTCTTAAGTCATCTGTGTGTTTCAAGTTGAAAACATGAAGTTCATGAACCTTCTATTTCTCCTAATGGAAAGCGATGTCGTGAGAAATTAATTACATTGGTTTAATTTTTCCTAACTGCACCTATAACACTGCTGATCAAGAATTATGTCAATCAGATTGATTCAAAGCGTCTAGATTAATCTAGAAAGATGAAAAAACTTGGAAGGCTTAAGCCACTCATATGGTGCCAGAGACCAGTGAAAAGAAGGTTTTTCTAGATGGTCGGTAATATTTTGAATGGTACCTTTCTACCAGCTCATGACCAAGAATGAAAAATTTGGTATGAAAATAAGGTTTTTCTCGTCGGCGTTTTTTTCTTTTTTCAAATGTTGGTGGGCTATAAATAAGAACCACTTCTTTCAAATAGAACTCATTACACTCTTGCTTCCCCCTCAATTTATATCTTCTAATTAGTGATCATCATCTTCTTAGTTAAGTTTAGAGATGGCTGAAGTTGCTGCTGCTCAAAGCACGGAGGCATTGAAAGTAACGAGCATCAAATCACTTGCTGAATCACCTGCTCTCAACTCTGTTCCTTCTGCATATGGCTTCACCATAAACCCCAACGATGAAGCAGATCCCAACGACCCTGAATTCGCAATTCCCATCGTCGACATGTCTCTTCTCACCTCAGGATCCCCAGAACAACGGTCAAAAATCATCCATGACCTCGTCAAAATTTGCCAAGAATGGGGCTTCTTCATAGTAAGTAGTGGACATGCAAATATACATGCAGTTATATTATCAACGTATTAAAAAATTAACAACTTATTATAATCATGTGCATTGCAGGCCATTAACCATGGAGTCCCTGAGAGCCTCATGAAGGCGATGATCGAAGCATGCCATGGATTTTTCAGTTTACCGGACGAGGAGAAGAATGAGTTCAAATCGGGGAACGATGTGCTGGAGATGTTCAAGTATGGAACTAGCTATAATCTGGCATTGGATAAATTCCTTCTCTGGAGGGACTTCTTCAAGGTCAGAGTGCATCCCGAATTCTACTCCCTCTACAAGCCGGCTTGCTTCAGTGAGGTCTCAATGGAGTTCAGCAAGAGAGCCCGAGAAGTTGCGTTGGAGATAACAAGAGCAATCTCAGAAAGCTTGGGGTTGGAGCCAAACTACATACACAACGCCATGAACATGGATCGTGGCATACAAATGCTCGCCGCCAACTACTACCCGCCTTGCCCTCAGCCAGAACATGCAATTGGTATACCCCATCACACTGATCATGGCCTTGTCACCCTCCTCATCCAGAATGAGATGAACGGCCTCCAAGTTGAGCACAACGGAAAATGGCTCACCGTTGATGGCCCTCCCAACGGTTTCTTTGTTAACCTTGCTGACCAGATGCAGGTATTTTAATTTTTAATTTTTCTCAACTCAAACAGTTACGTCGTATAACTCGTCTATGTGTCCACCCATATTATATTTATCTAAACCAGTCATAAGTTTTAGCTCAACTGTGTTGCCTATTTTTCCTCTCGCACAATCACCCTACTAATGTTTGGTTTCTGCATTAGTAACTTCCATCGTAAGCATGCATCGCATGTGTGATGCTTCTGATTTTATTATAAATAAATAAAAAAATTCTTGCAGATTCTTACTAATGGTAAATACAAGAGCGTAATGCATCGAGCCACCTTGAACAACAAAGCTACAAGGATATCGATCGCCATACCGCATGGACCATCTGTTGATACAATTGTTGCACCAGCTCCAGAGTTGTTGGAAAAGGAAGGCCAAGCTCCTAAATACCTTGCCATGAACTACAAGGAATACATACAGCTTCAACAAAGTGGCAAGTTCTATATGAAGTCTTCCTTGGATCACATACGAGTCTAAGCTTTTTACAGTGGGCTAGCTTTGTCACGTTTCAACCATATTGAAAGAGCCGCAGCAGCTTCCCTTTTTTTTCTTTTAAATAATGCCATCTCTGTTTTTTTTTAATTTATTTATAATGATCTAGTAGCCCAAAACTAGAGTTTATGTAATGAAATTTGTTATTTGATAAAATAAAATAAAAACATATGTTAAAAAAACTATTGGCCTCACGTCATAATTTCAGTGTTGAAAACTGTACAATACTTTTTATTGAATACTTAAAGAGAAAACGAAGATAAAGAAACAAAGATGGTGAAGCAACATCCTTCAAGCGCTAAACCAATCAACAAGCATGGAAATTGAAGCCTCAGAATAGCCAGTCAAAAGCGAGTTGGCACCCTCGACTCGGCCAAAAATCGGAGCTAAGACAGTTGAGTTGATCCCTCCTTTTGCTTGCACCTCCTGGCTAGACCCAGCATCAGTTGAGCCCGAGGCATTAGAGGCAAGGATTTGATCCTTTCGGGTCCGCTTGTTCATCTCACTACTCCACATACTTGCCACTGCAGACATTACTGAATATCTTCAACCTTGAAATGCTTGTGAAATTTGAAAGGGGGAGATTTTGGAGCTTTGGGGGTTGGATAATTTTGAAGCTTTTTGTGTTGGATAATTTTAGGGAACTTGGCAGGTTCTATATATAAGGTTGTACATATATATATATATATATATTTTATCTGTGGCTTGTTTTTATAAAAACAAGCACCTAAGTTGGTCGGTTTCATTCAACTTTCTTGTCTGGCCTAGGCTAGTCTGGCCACAGGAAGTCCCAAAAACCACGGCAAGCTAGCTAGTGGTATTAGAAAAGAACGATATTGAAATGAAAACATTGGGCATTTACTTATCCAATGGATCTCATATGGCTTCCTGTATTTCTTTCCTTGATGGCCCAAAATCGTAACTTTAGTTAGGTTAAGTAAGAGAAATTCTTTGGTCCGGCAAGTAGAATATATCACCAGTCTGACCACAAATCAGTATTTGAAGAAAAACTTACACACCACGAGAATAACACTATTTTGCTATCCCCAATCAATCTATGAGAATGTTTTGCTATCCTTGTGACATGCAAATCTTTCTCCATATTTGGGTCGCCCTTCAGAGAATGATAATAATAAATACGATTCCCGAGAGTCAAACTGAGTACCAAAATCTGGATCAGATTTTATCAAAAGACGACTGGATTTAGTTTAGTGCATCTTTTTATTAAGAATACCACTGCTCTCTTTGGTTAGTTTCAACTGTCATTCTTACCATCCTCCCCCAATACAGAAGAAATCTAGAAGAAGAAAAAAAAATGTTAAAGAAAGGGAACTCTCAAAGTTTCCAACTACGAAAGAGGATGGCACTGTCCAAAAACTAAGCATTTCAGGTTGTGTTGTAGTTTTGGTATTCCTGCAGAGATGAAGATCCTGCTCTTTCTGAAATGCAACCTGTGGAAAAATAAACTGATTGCCTATCAAATTGGTAGCAGAAGAACTGGACAACCTGGCTGAGCATATATAAACGCAAAAGAGTAATTCTGGGAAAAAAATGCATTTAAATATACAACAGAACAAAAGATTGATGCTGCACTCACATGGTAAGCAAATTTGCGATACGGAGCTCGTGTTGGTTTTCTAGAGACTGCTTTTGGATATACTGAGAATGGAGCAGAGATAAGCAAATGTGATACACCATGCGAGCGAGCTGCCACAAATCCAAAATCCTTAAAATTGCAACTGTGGAAAAACCTTTTTCAAACCTCCAACAGTTTTCTACTTTGGATAATAGTGTGTGAGGTTGTCCCATCTTCATAAAAGGACTAAAGCAGTGCAGGCAGCTAAGCAAGCCCTTGTTTTGTTCAGAAATCGAATTCAGCTTCAAGCTGCAAGACTGGTTCGCATGAAACATTCCTTAATTTCTTCAAGGCACCACATGTCCTCCGCCTAATTAACTGCTGACCGTTATAGGGTGGGCACATGCCTAATGCAGTTATTGGACATTCGTGGCCAGTTTCTTTCCAAAGATAACCATGGCACATTTAATGATCAGGGCCATGAGATTTGAAACGAACAGAAAGCTGGGGTTGCTGAAGTTTGCCATGGATGCAAAAGGTTCCATGCTCAATTGTCTGATTATGCACAGCAAAAATGAACCACCCCAACATTCCTGACACTGTTTTTTGCTCTGTAAACAGACTTGGAAACACATCATCTTCACAAGTTCAAATCCATGGTGTCCAACCTTCATACATGTTGCAAAGATTGTCTACACTAGTGGCCTGCTTAAGTAGATAGTCAACTTGTTCTGAGATGCTAATTTCTCTGAGAATAAAAAAAAGAGCCAATGTCAATACCGATTATCACCAACAACCTACACAGAATTCCAGAAGAAGCAGTTACCTGTTCTCAGCAATATCTCGACCATCTAGTTTCATCTCAACTCGCCTCAAGACCGACATTGCGTAAGGGTTTTTACCTATAAAAAGAACCAAAAGTATATTACTTTTTTTCTCAAGCTATTAAGCACCCAGCAATCACCAGACAAAAAGTAGTTAGTATTCAGGCACAGTGAATGCAGAGTTGGAGGGTGTGGGTGGGGTGGGGTGGGTCAGATTGACTTACCACATGAAAACATATTAACGACTAAGGGAAGACCAATTTAAGACATATCACCATATTATATATAATTAACATAATAACGCAGAAATGCTGTTCAACCACATGAAAACATTTAGTCTGTTCTTTCACAAAATAAGGTTGCATACTGAGTTCTCCACCTAAATCTTTGGATCAGTTTCATAATTTTATCTTCATACCAAACATATTAACACAGAAATTTATTTTAACCACATCCAAAACTTAGTCAATCCTCTTCCCGCTCTCAATCTTGAGAATTTTCCATCAATTCATAGTCCAGCTCTCACACCACTTTTTTTTGTGATTCTGCCCAGCTTTCAAGTCACCTGGATCCCCCTCCCCCTTCCGTCGCACTGCCCATTCCCCTCCCTTGCCCACCTCTTGTCTTTTAACTCTTAAGTGAGAACTTTATACAGTAGTTAAATTGAGCATGGTGAAATAGTTGAAGGGAAGAACAATGGAAGTAATAGTGTGGAAGAGAGGGTATAAATTTGTTGTCCATGTTGTAATCTTCAATATGAGAAAAAAGAGAATATTAGCCTACTCTTTTATTGTTGTAAAGCAATAAAAATGGAGTGGAGTTTATATGAAAGCAATATTACTGTTACAGCCCTTGTTATCCTAATTTTCCATTTCTACCCCTGAATGGCTGATGGTTAGTGGAACTTTGGAATTCTACCTGTTACCTAGTATTCCCCTCACTCTTTAGGGGGAGCAGAAACCTGGGTCAGAAGGCCCTTGAAGGGAGCCTGGTTTCCTTCATTAATGGTTTCTTCTTTATTACCAAACCAACCATTTTGTCTTTTTCCTTCCACTCTAAGTTACTGAGACACATTTTCATCTTGTAATAAGCTTATTAGTTTTAACACTTATCGCCATGCTATAATTATGGAAATAATAATTCCAATATATCAATCTAGTTACTTCTTTTTCATAAATAAAATTTATAAGGAAATAAAAGAAATAACAATATTATGAACGGCGGGCATTTTCAATGAGAAATGGGATGAGTTGAACTTTCAAATGAAAATCCTGCTCAGACGTTAAACCATGTAGACTTGATCTGGGAAAGTTAAAAAAGGGATGGAAAGGAAACAGTAGATATACATATTAAAGAGCAGAGAAAAAAGAATACAAGTAGATGATTTTATAGATAGGCATGATACTTACCCCTGCCTACTCGGCTAGAAGCCTGCACAGCATCACGATTTTCATCCTTAATTTTGACCTTGTTTAGTGAAGATATTTCCTCTTTACTCCCAAACTTCTCCTGTGTGTTCTCATCTGAAGGACGTGAAATTTCAGGACCAACAGTTGCAGATTCATCATTTGGTGATGCCACAGCCTGGGGATATTCATTTGGGTCACTAAGTGTTGACTTGAAAGAACCAATATGAATGTCATCAACCTCTGTGTACTTTGATTCGAACTGCGCAGAATCTGTGATTTCTTGGTTATCATTTTGAGAGTAAGGAGCGGTATTTTGATAATCTGTAACCTCTCTGCTGCTAGGCCCAAGCAAAAGCTGTTGTCCTATATCTTCTGGATCATTGAAGCTACCTGGAAAACTCTCTTCAGCTAAGGTAATGCCAGATTCTGTACTACTACTGCAGATACTATCTGGCGGAGATAACCATCCTTTAGCTTCCAAAGGAAGTCCAGTAATGCCAAGAAAATCTTTGGTGCTTTCACCATTTGACGTGGAGAGGCTCTCTTTCTCCTCCTTTTCATCAAATCCAGTAGCATCAGCAGCAAGATCTGGCCTCGATACATCAATTACTGGTGATTCTACTTCCTGACTTTCTCCCAGTCCTTCAAGAGCCTATCCAAGATGAGAGAGAGAGAGAGTTCATATTTATTTAACATGTAGTTATCAAAAAGTATGATTTATGTAAAGACTGTGACTATACTTTATGAAGATTCCCAGCATGGAGACTTGCAGTTCGTGCAAGCCTAGTCAACATGGAATAGAGCCCCTTCACAGATGATGTAAGGGAGGGCACCAAAGGCTCTATGGCCTGACGAGCCTCCCTAATTCTTAAAGAATAAGACTGGTATATTGCTTGTCCATGAATGGGAGATATTTCCATCTTGTTCTCCCTTTCCCCAGCCATAGCATCAGTCATGGCAGCTACATCCTTGGACAACACTGTTTCCAGTGGAAGAAGAATTGCATTTGCCTGCCCAAGATGTCAACAAACAGCATATGTGGTTATTAACATACTTGAAAACAACCAGATATATTAATATTTTCATACAAAACTCATGGAATAAGTAAACTACACTCAAATATAAAATAATAATTGTGAGACAAGGAAAACCTTTGAGAGCTCTTGTACAAGAGAACAGTGTACTGCAGCAGCCTCCTTTCCAAGACTGTGAACATCATGTAGATCTTCAGTTATTGCAAGAACCTATTCAAAGAAGCAGTATTAGTAACACAATGAAGCCATCCCCCACAAATGAACAATTAAAAAATGTCAAAGGAAATAGAGTGCCAGCTGATAAGATCCTTGAGAAATTCTAATTCCAGAAGAAAAAGAAAGGAAAGAAAAATTCAGCTGACAGGCTGATAACAGGAACATGTAATGGTGTTTCAGTACTCGATCATAAAGTTTATGGGCAATCTATCCATCACCTTTTAAAATCATATAACGTTTCTACTGAATGTATGACTAACAATTAGAACAAAGCTAAAATTTAAAACATTGCCAATTTATTGGAATGACTTCAGAATTAAACCTCAAATTCAAAGGATTCAAAGGGAATAAAAAGAATAAAATTAAAATCATCAAAATGAAATTAACTTTTACATAATTGAGTTTTTAAGAAAGTAGTAAGGGCTCAAACACAGTGAAGATAACATGGTAAAATTGAGCATGGATCAATATAAAGGACCCTATAAAAATGCATGCATCTATTGGAAAAAACTAAATCTCAGGGTACAAAAATATTTACAATATTTATTCAAAAACATGATAGCTAATATGGCAATGCCATGCAACGATGAACATATCAGCTGTGCATGTAATATTGGTACACAAGTTTACGGCTATTTGACGAGTATTTCAATACAGTACATAAACGTACAAAGTACATTAAAATATGCTCGAATGGACAAAATCAATTAGCATCAATGTTGTAGCCCATACCTCTTCGAGCATGGAACCACATTCAGAAGTCAAAGCAGAATGACGATTTGACACACGGGCATATGCACTCAGTGCGACACTGGCTTCACATGCACAGTCACTCATTGCAAGCACAGTGCTTTGTAAATCACCTGTAAATGACAAAAACCAGCAGGTCTCGCATGATTTGTAGATATACGTATTGCACAGATGGGATTGTGTGGTATTTACTTATTTCTTTTCTAATAAATATTAACTAGTATAAAGTGAAAGATGTATCTATTAGTATATGTGGAAAAGTAGGCATCACCTGAAGCTGACTTTGCTCTAAGAGAGGCAACACTAAGTTCGTTGGTTGCAGAAGACAATCCACTGCAAGCAGTTTCCATGGTCCTTTCTGCAACCTTCCATTCTTGTTCAGTGCCTAATACCAGAAACAACAAACTGCACATTTAGGACTCATATGGATGAGAAAGAAGTACTAGAAACAAGTTGATCACCAAAAAAAACTCACGAGCAAAAGAGTGGTAAGTAATATCCAATCTTTTTAGTGCATTCAAGTAAGCTTGCTGCCATGTTCGACCATCTGCACCAGTCCTGAATGGATAGATCTCTCCAGGAGAATGGAAAATACCGTCTCTTGATGCTTCAAACTCCAATATAGACACGCAAATTTTTATAACATCTGATGCCTTTTCTCTAGCTTGCCTTAGTAGTTTCCTTCGCCTCATTAGATGGTCATGAAATTCGGGAGGAATTCCAGAAGTCTTGCTTGAATTATTTCCTGTTGCACTGGAGTTCGGGCCACCACAGGCCCACCCCATTGCTCTCTCAAGCTGCCCTTCAGCTGCAAGAGAAGTTCGTTCACAAGCTTGCAGTGACTCCATAGACCTAGCTATCTTTGACACAGCAGATTGTAAACTTTCCAACACGTTAGGTCTGCTCAGTTTTAAGACAATAGGGTATAAACTATCATCACCAGAAAGAAATTTCTGAAACATGACCCTGCTACTATGAGAAGGGTTCAAAGTAGCATCATGCATCCATTCCAACTGAACAATCTCTAGGCCAGTCTTCCAAAGAGTCTCTCTGAGCTCATTCACTTGCTTTTTCATTAGAGATGCAGCTACCCTTGCTGCTCTGGCAGTTTCATGTGCATTGCAGAATTCCTCAAGCATAAGCTGAACCCTTTTCAGAGCCCCAACATCTCTTTTAACTTGATCAAGAGAAACTTCCTTTGTAGCCTCCGTCAGTTGCTTCAAACGCTCATTTTCTTTATCTATGCTAGCCAATAAACTAGGGCCAACTCGTTCTTTCAGGTATCGACCAAGATGTTCTTGAAGTTGCATTTCAAGCTTTCTCTTAACAACATTGTAGAGCTGGTCAAACCCTAAAGTTTGATCCACAGATGAAGCTACGTCATTTAGGCAGGAATCAAGAAAAGAATCAATAACCCCTAATTTCCAAATAAAGAAAGAATGATGATTCAATGAGCTGCCAAACTTCCAAACATATTCAGATATTGGGTACCCTGAACTCATCAAATCTGCTAAATTAGAAATCTCATTTGAGTGAGAAGTGAATCCAAATGAAGAAAACACTTTATCAATTGATTCCAAATCAGTAAAGGGCTTAACAAGCATCGACAATAGCACTTTGCTTTTTGAGACATGCAGCTCTCTTTCCTCTTTGACGCCAACTAGAGAGTGAAAATGGTGGGCAGAAGTAGCCAGGGCATTCTTTATATCTGATTCTCTCTTTATGAGAGAGGAAGTGCGCAAATCCCTTTGGTTCCAAGTTTGATGGAGTTGGTCCAGCTGTGCCCTACAAGCTTCTTCTTGGGATGCAAGCTCCTCTGCCTCTTCCCATGAAAGATGATCTCTACCTTTCATGGCAGCTTCTTCAAGAGCCAACTGCTGCTCAGTAATGAGACCAACCTTAAAAAAGTAGTTCTGTTCCAGTTCAACTAAAGATGCCCTCTCCATCTCCACCTCTATAAATTGCTCAAGTACTGTATCAATAGTACCACGAATTTGTGAGATTAGTCCAAATGCATCCATGACTTCAGAATTCAGTGAAACTGCAGATCTTATAACATCTGGAAGAACAGCTTCAGTCATTTGCCCAATCAAGCTCTTGCAGGAAAGTAAAATGGTTTTAAAAATGGAGGCCCAATTTCTATCAGAGTAATATCCTGGATGGTCTTTATCTGTGTCACCACCACTAGGTCCATCCCTACCAATCAGTTGCTGAAGTTCATTAACAAACCCTGCTAGAAGTACACACTTCTCTACTTGCTCTTCAAACCCACAGAAAATAGTTTCAAATTCATATTGTAACTGGTTGTTTGCATTTCTCCGTTTATTTGAGTCATTGAATATATCGAGCACCTTATGCTTGATTTCATTGTACAAATAACTGGCTGCTGAGTTCAGAACAAACAAAACCTTTTCCTTTTTCTCATTTAGCTCCCCACGCAATTTAGCATCCTTTGTCCCATTCCCATCATATTTAGATTGCCCAAATTGAATGGAAAGAATAGCATCTTCTTTCTTTGCAAGACCAGCAGATTGCATGTATTTCATAAAAGCAGACAAAAGCCGATCCTTAGCCTTTGATTCAGTCTCCGAGCCAATAGAGTTCACTAGTTCAGCACACTCCTCTTCAAGCTTCTCTATCTCTAGAGCATACTTTTTCACTTTAAGACACATATCATCATGACTGTGTTTGATAGAATCAGTATATCCCCATGTACTTTGGAAATAAGTTCAGCACCCTGTCTTCTAGCGAGAGAAAGGATATCAGAGGAAAGAGCACTAGCAGATAGCTGCAGAGCCTGTGCCCAGCCATGAACTGCACTCGTTGTAATGTAATTCAATGGTAAAATTCTTTGCAAAGCCAAAGAATACACTTGAAGTGCATTTATCGCAGAAGAGAGTCCATCGTCCAATTCCGATACTAGTTGAGAGACTTCCCTATCTATATCATAGCATTGTGCTTGTGTAGGCTCAGGAACAATGGTCAGTGGAACACCAGCCACCAGGACGGCAGACGTAAGAGACAAGATTTCCTGCATATTACTCAGCTTTACAAAGGCATTTATTTCTTGAAGTAAATTGCTTCGTAAAGCATCGAGGATGTTTCCATGTTGTTCCATCCAGGTTGCTGCCTCTTGAGATTTCTCAGCAACCAAGGCCTTCGCCTGAGCAAATTCTCGAGCCTGAATTTCAAACGAAGCACGAATTTCTCTGAATTGCTAGTTGCTTCAGCAACCATTGACTTCGCAGATGTCTCGTGCAGAATTAGGTTAGATCTCTCTTGATCAGCTCGATAAAAGAGTGCAGATGTAAGTTCATATTGGTTTAGAACATCAGCAAACCTCTGGTACAACATTTCCCAAAAGTCAAAAACAAATTTCAGCCGCACAAAAGTACATAATAATAATAATAATAAAAGGGAGTTACCCACCTCAAGAGCAGATTCAACAGCTGGTAGAGTAGCCAATAAAAGATCATGGTGCTCCTGGTCACAATAAAGGACATCAAAGTGCCATTCACATGATCAAACAAGTTCCACTATGGGCATATAAATATATTGATTGAAACATATATTCATGCACACACATAACCAAGGATAGATGTAGATACAGGCATAATGTGCCAATGCAAAGACCAGAACTTCAGGACATTTGCAGATATATAATAAAATCACAAGAGTCACATACAATGCACTAGGTTCAAATTGAATTCTATGTATGTTCAAGATTGTTTTCAGCCATCAGGATAAATGAAATAATAGAAGGCAGTGACTAAGAACAACCCACATTTTCACCACAAAGGCATTTACAAGCTTCGGCTTCAGAATGAGTACCTGTAAGGGAACACGAATTTCCTGCACACGAGATGCAAATAAACTCAGACTGACAGCCAACTCCATGCCCTTCCTTTCTTCACCAGCAATTGCAGCATCATCGTGAAAATCTCCCCGTGTCCATTCCACAAGAGGATCCCAAACAAACACTTCAAGTAACATCAAGAGTATGTCTTTGTTCTTCCTCAAAACACCAATAACTGTTTCACAGTTTGACCTGAAGGTACCTTCTATCCCAGTCATCCCTAACGCTGCTTCAATGATCTGTGTAAGGCGGAAGGGAACAATTTCTGGAATTTTTAATCTTTGCCCTTTATCAAAACAAACATTGTAATCAATATGTACTATATCACCACTACAGAAATCCATTAGAATATTATCCAAGTGCCTATCCCCAAGGCCAAGAATATGGCCCACCATGCTCATGGCAGCAACACTTCCTGAAAACCTACAAAGTGAAGAACACATTAAACACTAAATGGTTTACAACATAGTGTATACTTTTTTTATGAAACAATAGTATCTGATTGCTCAAAAACAAACTAATAGCCAAATACTACAATATATCAGAATGCAAAAAGATTATACTCTACCACAAAAAGGGGGGATAAAAGGAAACTGGTCCTATAATGGATTAATATTTCAATGTACCTTACCTCACCTATCAAATTAAAATGCTGATTCTGCTCCACAAATTATAGTGCCAAACCCAGTACATTATTCACACGTCAACAATATTTACATAACATAAATATATGCATTCCCGTCTCCTTGTAACTCCATAAGCAGTTATACCTGCTAAAGGTATATGCAATTTGAGAGAAGTGGAATTTCTTGTTTTATATTTTTAATTTCAACCACCTATTCACCTTACCTGGGAGTTATTTGGAAAGCCTAAAGTGGACACCATGCGAGGAATTGCCTTTGATTAATAGTATATATGCTATAATAAGAATGCTATAAAGCATGATGACTAGGTTGAGGAACTGGAAGCTCCACTGACAGTGAAATTAATAGATCCCAAGCAGGTTGTTAAAGCTTAGGTAATTATATAAATCAATGCAATACAGATTGTTAGCACCGTAAAGAGTGTTTTCAGGAGTGTCAAGTTACCTCTTCTGTTTTGAACTGAACGCTTTGAATCCTTCACTAGCACACCAAAGTTCTTGATAAAGAAGCTGTCTAGGAGTCTCCTTCATTAGTTCCAGAAGAACTTTACGCTTCACCTCATGAGGCCAGTCTCTTCGAGAAATTACTCTCCTTATACCTTTCTCTTTGAGCGCTGGTATGATTTTACCATAGAACATATCACTGGGTCGGGGAACAGCTGGAGGAACAGAACTTTTGAACTGCTGCCACCCACTGCTGACAGCTGAGCTAATTGGATGCGGTTTTGCCAGGACTTAAAGACACTGTATATACTAATTACATTGTCCACCCACTGGATGAGGCCAGCCCGGCCACTAATTGGAGTCACAGAATAATAGCGAACACCAAGAAAGTGACTATGAGTTGCAAGAGATGTATGCAGAAAACCATTTATAGCTTGCAAGAGCTGCATGATTCTGGCATCAAGGCGGAGATCTTCCCTGCCCTTCAAGAGATATGTGTACTTTTGACCATCTGAACCAAGAATAACTAGTTTCTTAGGTTTAGTCTTGGTTGATATGATAGCCACCTCCTCAGAGAACGAAGCAATGGTGACAATTCCCTGAAGATTAGCACTGAGACCTCTGTCAGCTTCAGAGACTGTGTCTTGCTTCTCAAGACCAGGCATTGGAACATCAGACGATGATAGTAGAGCCAGTTGTGGTGCAACTTCCCTTAAAGGAATTGATAACTTCCTCTGATAAGATCCTAAGGATGCAGCAATGTTATCAAATGGACGCCATGCATCACCAAGTGCTGCAGCGGATGCTGGAGGGGTCTTGAAGGCCATGATGGCTGATTTCAACCGATCTTTATACTCCTCATGGAACCATACTTCATGAGGTGTTTCAGGTTTCCGAGATGTAGAAGCTAGACGACGTTCCAAGGCCACAACAATAGGAGCCATCATAGCTGAATATTTAGCAGCATTTATCTTGTTTTTCTCACTCTGGCTAAGAGTAACATTTTCTGCAATTCGTGCAGCTTCCTCTTTCAGCACATTTATGCGCCTCATGACATCTGAAACAAAAATTAATAAAATAAATGGGTCAGGTTGAAAACAGTACACCAATTTTTATGTCTGGCGCACACATATATTCAGGTCTCAGTGTGCAGTAGTTCATTTGTGATTAAAGCACGCACTGGCATATAGTTTCATATCCAAGTTATATACGACTGAAAAAAAAACACTTATTTCCCACAGAATTTTTGGCATCTAAAAAACAAATGCATATTCAAATAAATGGCATCAGAAACAACAAAAGCCTCGTTTAAGCAAGGTCAAACATACCTGTGTGAATATCTTGAAGTGTGCTGAGCCATAGCTCCTCCCAAAGAACAGTAACGTTTCCCAGCTCATTTATCACAAGCTGAACATCCTGAATCAATCTTGGATATAGTTCACTCTGCATGTAACATGATTATGCTTAATTCAGTGGCGTACAAGCAAGTTATAATACAAAATCTCAAATTAATAAAGATTAGGATAGTTAGCACCATTTGCAAGATATAACCTTTATTAATACATAAAAGTTAGTAATTAGCAGTTTTGTTATTATTACAAAATGCAAACTTGTCGTGTTACTGTGCTTTTCATTGTTATTAATGATAACCTCGCACTCCAGAATTTGGAGTCTAATTGTATTGCACTAAATGCACAACACCCTGAAAAAAAAGAGTTAAAATAAAAATATTGAAAGAAATTTCCTTACCAAACAACCAAGTATGTGCTGCAGCTCCTCTGAGGGCTTCTCTTCATAAGCATCCACGTCAACTAGTGTTGGGTAGACAATGGACCAAGGAGATTGCTTGGCCAGCATCATCAGTAAGCCCTCCAACTGCTTCCGAACCACTTGCTCGGGATGAGAACTTAACCGAGCAAACAATTGAGGAGTTACTTCCTAGAAGTGGAGATTGTAATCAGAATGAAATCAAGTCATCCATACTAATAAAATAAAAAATAAAAAATTAGCATGTAGGAAACAAACCAAGGAAGAGCCCCTTACCTGCCAGGGTGACAAAGGAACAGTTGAAAGAGCAGGTTCAAGTATATCTTTCAACTCCGCTCCATATTTGAGAAGAATATGTAGGACATACAATGTAGCCCTCAGAGTATAGCTGCCAGCTTTTTGCTTCAGAGGCTCAAAATCAGAGTCAGCCAAGCCACCATTGCAAATTTTAGCGGATGAATACGAAAGATACTTTATAAAGCCATGAGCTGCATGCCCAAAGAGTGACACTCTTCTCCTCCTCAAAGACCACCAAACAACAACTAAATCATCAACTACAGAAATTATATCGGTTTCATTTAGGCCAAAATTTGCACGAAGAAAGCAGATCTTCAACTGAGAAGCTAGAGTAGCAGAAAAGCAATCGTCACTACAATCTTCTGCACCAGGTCCCCCAGAAACAGCTTCAATGATACTCACTACTTGCTGCACCAAAGCCATCACAGGGTTGGTATTTCTCAGTTCAGCAGAATCAAGAGAGTAGTTCGAATCTCCCTGTTCAGCTCTAAAACCCTGGTCATCCTTATTCTGAACAAGCTGAAAAATCAAAGATTCCACTTTTATGATCTCATCTTCAGTTAGCTTGAATCTCTCAGGCAGAACTTCATGAACAAGGATGGGAGAAAATGAGCATGAGTGAAGGGTATTTTCATTTGGGGTTAAGAGAGAATCCTGGGCCATACTAAAACACCAAGAGGCATAAGAAATCCAGGATTTTCCCATAGTGGGACAGAGACGAGTAGACAATTTTGTAGCTGTACCCACAATTTCCTCAATGATAGGACCCAAAGGTGGTTTAGAGCTTAAGATCTCATCGCCAAATGAGGGCCTACCCCTTCCAGGAGAAGAGGAATCAGCCATCTCAAAGTCTGACCGCATATTAAGAACAATGTCATCTAACCTCAAATCTGAATAGTTCTGTTTAAGCCAATTTGAGAGTTTCAAGCATGCCTTGGCCTTCAGAATACTATTGTCAGCATCAGAAACTATAGACAGTGAAGAAACCACACAAGGACGCACAAAAGACCAAAGGTTCGTCAAAGCATCTTCAAACTTGTTTTCAGCATGCATTAGCAGGATGCCCTCATACTGCAAATTTGAGGTGAGAAAGTCATGGTGCCTTTCCCTGGAACAACTCAATATGTGATCTTTGAGATAATTGTTCAGACGGTTTGCCAACAGTAGGTTTTGTTGTTTGCGGGCCAAGCTCAACAAATTCATAGAAAGCTTTACAGTAGCAGGAGAAATTGGGGAAATGGTTTGATAAACTCGCAGAACTTTTAACCAAGGGTTACAATCTTGATAGACTCTACCCATTTGTGGATGCATAAGTTGGACATATGAACTTAATATTGACTGAAGTTGCCTGGGTTTATCTTGGTTGTCTTTAATCTTGTAAAATTCTTCAAATGCAATGATGCAGTGCAACTGGGTAGCATATGCTGCTGCTTCTTCTAATCCATCAAGCGGCAGAATAGACAATGTTTCCTCCAGCATTGACCTGGCCTTCTGTAATTCATGTGGCATCTTATCTTCCTTTCCCTCATTCTGAAGAAGCATTGCCTGTAAAAGCATCTGCTCACTTCTTTGCAAGGCCAATTTCGGATCAAGGGTGAGCTCACTGCTACTTTTAGGTGTCAAACCAAGGCATGCCCATGCTGCTTGAAATTCACCCTCATCATACCGTGCCAAGGCATGGATTGCATTAATTTCATTGCCCGTCGTTGTGAGAGCACCGCAATAACTCTTCCCAGCATGCTTAGCACGAAGTGTTTGCAATTCTGATAACCAGGATTCTAAAGATTTCCAATCACAAACAGAAGTATAACACTCAATGATGCGTGCAATGACAAACTGTACACCATCAGAACCCAAGGAACTCAACAACTCCTCAGCCTGTAGCAAGTGAATAAAGTGCGCAGCAGCCTTTTCATATTTACCTTCTGCCTGATATACAAGCCCAGTGACCCATGTAAAGTGTCCCAACACCCTACTGTTACTGAGGGACTGGTTTTCCTCCACAAGAAAGGGAGCGAGTGTCATTGAAACCCATTTTTCCAGGCCATGTAAAGCCTCTGATTCATGAGTCTTACACAGAGCCAATGCCATGTGCCGTACAACCCTCAAGATGTCTGCAGAAAATCTGCCCCTAATATTATGGAGGTTCTCAGTTACTTGTGACCTAGACTTTTCATTCAAAGCTGAAGCCACAAGATTCCTCAGTTCCTGTAAACGCAGAGCACAATACTGAATTGTAGCATCATGGCATTGGAGAGCTAATCCAGCATTCATCATTGGCTCACAAATACGAGAAAACCACTCCTCACAGACTTTCTTGTTAGCTCGAAAGAATAAGGAACTAGAGCGAGTAGCAGACGGTAAAACAGCAGATCCCTCATATGCATTATATACATTTTTCTTCAGCGCCTCAACAAAATCGAATAGTAACCTCATTGGTAACAAATGAGCACCAGATGACCCTATCATACTTAAATTCCCATCATTTTGCTCACTGTCAAGCATTAGCAGGTGTGCAACGTCCAAAAGCATTCGCTCTAATGCTGCAAAGGTCTGGGTTGGCCCACCAAGGTTAGTCCGAAGGCGTGTGGCAATACAATATCTAGCAGCTTCATGAACAGCCCACCAGGCACCAGCCAGATTATTAACTGAGCAATGCTTTTCAAGAAAGTCTTCCTCCATTTTTATGTCCAACCACACACCAATGGCACCAAAATTTCCTGTTTCCTCAAGTTGAATTGGAAGGTCTTTTGAACTCCGACAACTATGAATAAGCCGTTGGATCCAAGAGGAAAGAGGCACCTTCCACCTTTGGGATATGTAACTCAATATGGTAACAAGTTGTTGCGAGTGAAGTTGCTGAGGGAGCTGCTTCAAGGCAAATCCTTGCTTCCATTGCAAGTTAGAACTATTGCCTAAAAGAAGAGGAACAGCCCTAGAAGAAGTAGATGTCCCATAATCATGAAGCCCACATGCATACAATGTAGTAGGCACAACAATAGCAAGCAACCGAACGAATGCATTTTTTATATCACTATCTGGATCACCAAGTTTTCCGAGGACCACTTCAGCCAAACAATAAAAGTAGCGAGGATGTATAATCCTTGCCTGCAGTAACAACTCCAATACTAATGCAACATGTGACCTCACATTTGGTTCCCTGTCAGATGCAGCATCCAAAATTGAGAAAAGCATATTCCCAATAATCTTAATATTGCCATACACTTCATAGAAATCAGTTTCTGTGTTTGATTTCTCGTTAATAGCAATAACATTCTCACCAAAACTTTGGACCCAATCTAGCGCAACTGTTTTAACTGCAAGCGGAGAAGAAACATGGAGAGCTTTCACAAAGAACATACTGTACTTCCTCAGATTCTCAACAACCACAACTGATAGTTCATTTGTCAAATAATTGCCATTAAGTAATTTATCAGCAGTCACAACTGGTGATGATTTCCCACTACTCTGATATGTTATAGAGCACTTGCTTAAGAATTTAACTGTTGTTAGCCTGTCTAATGTCTTGATAACATTGACTTGCAAATCCACATATGCCATAATAGGTAAGTCAAAAGGATTAAATTTCTCTATGATAAAATCCAACAATTTTTCTGACCTCATAAGATATAGGGTTGCAATGTCTAGTTGACAGGTCAAACTGTTCTCCCCACCCCAGAAAACAGATGTCAACAAAACTTTCAAATCAAATTTAATCAATGCAAACAATTCAAGTTTTGAATACAATTTAGAGCATCCAACAACCTCATCTCCAAGACCCGTGGCTTTCTCTAACATGCCCTTCAACAACTCCAGCTCCTCTGTTAAAGATGTCAGTACTTGTTCAACAACTTCATTATTCCCGTGCTGAAGCAAGAAAATATAAGTGGCAGCCGAACTACCAGTTACTAGGTGATTAGGATGCAAACGCAGCTGAGATATTGGAGCATTAAATTGCAATATTTTCTGCACAGATGATTGGAGAAGGCCAAACTTTTGCAAGGATAATAATTGGAGATTAGTTTTTAAAACTCCATGAACTTGAAAGGAGGTAATTCTTCCACTTCCCATTGGTTGGGGAGTATTGTCCACTTCCAAACTTTGAAATAAAATATCAAATGCAAGGGGATAAAAGGTGGAAAACCTTTCACAAAATATTTCTGCCAACAGAGTCAAACACTTCCATAAATCCCCAATCCATTCCAACCACCCAAATTTCCTTCCAACCATAGATAAACATCCCAATAAACGAGGAACAATTCTGTTAAGGGGTTCAGTGATTTGTTCAAGTAAATTCATTTCCAGCAACCCAGAAGCAGTGGACTGCAAAATTGTTGAAAAACAAGAAAGCAATGCAAGCAACCTTCGAAATTGTTGTGGGGTTCCATGACTTACATCCTGAAGCAAAACATCCATGTCACCTAGAAACTTCGACAGCAGTCCAACAGAAAACTGCAAATTACCCACCCAATGATTCTGAAATTGCAAAAAACTATCCATTATTATTCGTCTATCCGATTCAGCAAGGTCTGGTACCAAAGCCCACCCGAGAAGAAGATCAACAATGTCAAGAAAATGAGGCTGGAAGCATCTAGAAAACTTTAAAGAAATCAATGTTAAAACACCGAGAAGCAGATGTAACAGACTCAAGGAGGTTCTCTCATCCTCGAGAAGTACTTGACATGCTTTGAGAATTGACAAAGCATATCTCTCAACCCCACCAACATCCCCAACATTAAGAAACTCCCGTAGGCTATCCAATGCCAATTCCATGGTCCCTTCTCCAGCGCCGCCATTGCTAAGCAACGGCAACGCCCAACCAATGAACCGGTCAACCAAGCTTCCCAGCATAACATGGTTTTGTCTTCCATTTGACGTTATAGGGATCGAAGAAACCACGGCACAAAGAGCCCCATACGCTACAGCTGCCCCTTTCCTCACCGCATATGATCTACAGTGCAATTTCCAGAGATATTACATAAACATATGTACTTTCAACAAGAATAGATAATTTCCGACATTTTCACAATGCAAAACCCTTCTACCCAATATAATTTTTCACGATTTGATTAAAAAATATTTCCATTCTAAGTGGTGGTCCATAAATTTTAATTAACCATAGTAAGTTAGAACATCCACTGTGATCTACGCATCACAAACCTTAATAACACAAGCTTCATAGTTCCACATTCCAATCCTTTAATTATCCTACACTTTCTCAGCAAACAAACACAACCAGCAGAACTTGTATAAAACTAAAACAACTTCAGAATGCAAAATACTCGAAAGTTGTACTTCAGTAGAAAATTTAACTAAAAAGAAAGAAAGAAAAGCGAAATATCAACTAAAATTCCAGAGGCTTTACTTGTCTAATCCCTTAATCTGTAACCAAACAGAACAAGCAGGATTGTCTAAACAATGCGAAGTGCAACGCAAATTCCAATTTAATGGATAATTAAACAAAAAATTAGTAAGAAAAAAAAAGTTTAATTTTAAAGAAAGAAAAAGTGAAAGTGAAATTGAGGAGGCTTTACTTGTCGGAGAGAAGCTGCGACAAGCCCTGGGCGAGAAAAGTGGCGGAGTGAGTGACGAGGAGCGAGTTGGGCGGGTAAAGAACGGCGCGGTGAAGCGAGTTGATGGCAGCGAGTCGAGCCGAGTCGTCGTCCTCCGAGTTAGAGGATGGGGCCGAGGCGGAAGCCGAATCGTCCTTGGGAAGCGCGACGGACAGAAGCGCCGCGAGTTGCTGCTGTTGGTGATGAAGACCCTGCATCATTCTCTTGCTGCTGCTTCTGTAGTTTTAGCATCTCTCATTCGCACTCGACTGAGTCGACTTTCTAAACTCTGGCTCGAGCTTTCTATTGGCTTTGTTTGTTGTTGCTGCTCTGCTCTGGTTTCTCTCTCTCTCTCTCTCTCTTTCGGCTTCAACGTTGTCTTCTGCTTTCTTCTGTTTTCCGAAGTCTTTCTTTTGTTTTTGGGTTTTATTTGTTGGTTTTCCGGTGATGAAAATTGAAGGAGCGAATGACTAATTTTCTTTACTTTTTTAATCCATGTACAGCAAAATCCTATTTTAACCACCGTGGAAGAAAATATCTTATAAAATAAATATTGTAATCTAAATTAGATGACAATTATTTTAGGAAATTAACGAAAAAGACATAAGATATTTTCATTTTAGGCAAAAAGTCGTTTTTGATCCTTGTAGTTTGTCACTTTTATCACTTTGGTTCTTGTCATTTTAATTTGATCAATTTTGTCCATTTAGTTTTAATTTAATCTATTCAAGGACAAATTATAAGTTCTGTCAAAATGGATAACTTCAGTTAGTTGTTGAGGGGCATTTTGGTCCAAAATTACAATTTCTCTAATGTTTAAATTAATTTTAAAAATTAAAATCAGATAAACACAAGAATTAAATAACAAAAAATTTTAAAAAATAACCACAAACGAACAAACCTATATCACCCAAACCACACCACACCCCCCCCACCCCGTAACCCAGCCTCCTAACACCCACCAACAACACAACCCAGAGGGAGGCTAGAGGACTGATGGGATGGATGTGGTTTAGGGATGGGGTGAGGGAGGTTGCGAGGTTGGGTTGGTATGGGGGGAAGGATGATAGGGGCGGGTGGGGTTTGTGTAATTAGAGTGTCTTTTTATATATATAAAAAATTTGTTACTTTATTCTTGGTTAATTTTTTGGGGGTTTTGATTACTTTTTGGTTACCTTTATTTTTGGACCGAAATGTCCCTCAACAACTAACGGTAGTTACTCTATTTTGATAGAAATTAGAATTTATCCTTGAATTGCTTAAATTGAAAACTACAGGAACCAAATTGATCAAATTGAAACAACAGGGACCAAAATGGTAAAAATAACAAACTATTATGACCAAAAATGATTTTTGGGCTTAATTTTAATTAATCAAACATATATTGTTGATTGATAGCCAAGCTAACTTGCAAATTAGTGGTCTTAGATTCAAATTCCATGACACTTTTGTAGTGTGTGTGAGAAATCTCTCCCTTTATAATCGCTTGTATTAAAAAATATATATATTATCATTTTACTCAACAACACAATTGAACCCATCGAACCCACATAGATTATTTACCATATGTGTAACTAAATTATAACTATTATTCCAATTTTCTCATAAAGAACTCTTATTTTAACATTTTAACGTCTCATCAAACTTATAATGTGACAATTATTTAATTACAATATAAATAAGGTCCATAATAGAATTATAGATGAATAAATTATAGAATTATAGATGAATAAATGAACTGTTATCATACTAGTTGAAAATTAATGAATTAGAATATTAGTGGTGGCCCATTATGAATTGTATTTACAAATTGATATTCTAAACTATTGTAATATTCCAGCAAAAAAAAAACTATTGTAATGCTATGAGAATATACATTCTTTGTTCTAGTCTTTTCGGAATTTGGAGCCTTTCTCAGGAAAATATTTTCCTTTTTTTTTTCATATAAATAAATTATATATATATATACACACACATAGCCACATAGATTGCCAAACACCTGATCTTCAGTTTAAGTCATATCGACGGCTGAATTTTTCCAGGTGACTTGAAGGAATTTTCCAATTAGGGTTTTGGATCTTTCAATTCAAGTTAGGGCTTTTGCAAGGTTTCAAGAATTAACGAACCCTAATCCAAACTCAGGAGCCAAAACGATGTCGTACGACGATGTGGAGATCGAAGATATGGAGTGGAACAATGAGCTCCAGGCGTACACATACCCCTGTCCATGCGGGGACTTGTTTCAGATCACCAAGGAGGACCTGAAGTTGGGCGAAGAGATCGCTCGGTGCCCTAGTTGCTCCCTCTACATCACCGTGGTTTACAACGTCGAAGATTTCTTAGATAAGAAAAGTAACAAACCCATCGAGCCCTCTAAGCAGCAACCCATTACTGTCGCTTAAAATTTCGGGTAAAATTTGATACGAAAGGTCCGTAATTTAATATTTTCATATATGTTTAGCGATTGAATGTTCCTTTCCAGAGAATTTTATTTATTTATTTATGAATTATTGTTGTTTGACACGTTCATCAAATTGGCCTTGGATATTTGCTATTGCTAAAATGGATTTTTGTCTCCCATGCCAACTGTTGCTCAATCTTCAAAATTTGTTGTGTACCTGTTTTGTTTCTAGAAAATAGAAGATAAAAAATGTAGTTTTTAGTTTTCTATGGTGCTTAATTCTTACTGTCATTTAGTCATTTCAGTTTCTAGCTTGTTTCTCATTTTCTGGGAAAACCCATCTGATGTTGAAGCTGGGGCGGATGGATAAAATTCAAGGATTTGGTGTTCCATAAGTTTTCTGATTGTTTTAAATGGGCTATATACCCCTTGAAAAGAAAAGAAAAAAACACATTATGAGAAGCTCCTTACTTGTTTCTTATCTTCTATGACAAGTGTGATTTGGAAGTAGTGCTTCTAACGAAATTAACTTACGTATAGCTTTTTAACACTTGAATTGAAATGCAGTTTGGAAATATTATTATTTTTAAATTGTCAGAGGTTATTAGCTCTTCAATGGAAATTCAACTATACACTTTTAGACAGTATAATTCTTTTAGGAAAGATGGTGCCTGAAGTTTTGGCACTTTCAAGTGTGGCAACTTAATGTGGTAGTGCAATAGTTGTCGGTAGACTGAGGATGGAGGTGTCCTGACGAACTTCCATCATACTAGGAAGTTTGGATTTTCTGCTAAGTCTGGACTCTTTACTTGGAGTTGAAATTTGCTTTGGAGGAGGAATGCTTCAAATTCAGGGTTGAGACTGATACACTGCTACCGTCAGTTTGCTGCAGCAAAATACTAGAGATTGTCACCCTTTGGAAACCTTATTACTTGGTTGTAAGATTCTAATGGGGAAGGGTCTTCTTGTCTTTCTCATGTCTGTAGGGAGAGCAAAACAGTAGCTGATAGCATGGCAAGATTTCAGTTCTCACTGGAAGTAGGCTGCACATTGTTATGCCCCTGCAACTCAAGTCAAGGATGTCTATTTTCTCACCTGGTTGGGTTCACTAGACCTTGATTGATTTATTTGCAGTTTGTTATCCTCTCTGGCCTTTAGTCATTGTTACAAAACCTTAGTTTGGAGCAGTTTCACTTTCTTCAAATATTTTTCCCAAATTGTGTTGCTTTGCTGACTTGGGGGATACTATGGGTATTCCTTTTAATTGCAGTACTCCATTTCTGCCAGTCGAATACCCCAAAAATAAAAAGGTGGTTGATATAGTTGTATTGTTTAGATCAGTGAAGAGTAAAAACTAAGAACAGTTTGGTGAGATGGGATGTTCTGTCTCAAACCAAAGGAAAAGAAGGTTCAGGGGTGTGGGTAATTTAGCAAAGAGGAATGAAGCTTTGCTTGGGATAGGGCACCTTTTCTGGCATCTTTGCGACCATCTGTAGCTTCAGAGTTTAGGGAGTTATCTTTTTCAGTTATTTTGTCAGATTGGAAAGCATCTGTTTTGTAGCTCTTTGGAATTCTGTTCTTGTTTTGATGTTTTCCCCAAGGATTGAGGTGTCGATGCAGTTTGCATGTTTAGTTTTTTTTTCTTTTTTTTTAAAGAGTTGACTCCTTGTTTACTTTTGTTGTATTGTTTATTTTTAATAAAGTGTCACGTTTCTTATATATGATAAAAATCTAATGTAATTTGTGCTTTTAAAAAAACTTTTATAATTTGTATACCTGTTTGAGCACAGCAGATACGGATGAAACTTAAATTGGAAGTTGTTGTTTTCAAAATAGAAAATTATGAGTGCACTTCTCAAGGGTTTTCATGCTCTTTTAAATAGCTTCATTTTGGTGTAGTTTGCAATCACTCTAATGCTTCTACTCTTTCTCGCAGATGGCCTGATCTGGAGATGGCAAAGTGGTGGAAGAATTCTTCCCAAGTTTTGTTAGATATATAACTAGGTATGAAGTGTGCAGGTAAGGAGTGAGGAAACTTTTTGTATTCAACCTGCAATGGAAAAGTAGAATTTGATAAGGCAATTGTTATTGAGCGATTTTATAACTTATTGTTTGTCATTTATATTTAGGGCTAAACACATGTAATCTGATACCAGTAAAATAAAAAAGAGAAATCAGCTTGGTCATTTGAAAATATCCGAAAATGTGTTTCGATCTCTATGTATTATTACCCATCTGATGGGGGAGCTCTGTGACCCTGGTGTTGCTTGAATTGAAAGGAGCTGATTAACTGACTAACTCCATGTAATCAATTATTAACAAATTGGGTTTTTGGTCATTCATCCGGTTCTTTTGGTAATCCCCAATTTGGTAAAACTGGTTTTTGATTCATCAAATTGGGTGGACTTTGGTACTCAACAAAACCAAACCAAACCAATTTTCAGTGATATTTTTCAGTTTTGAGGGCATGAAGAAAGATGGATTCAGCAAACTCTTGGAACCAGACGATGCTCAGTTTGTGTGTGTTAGTACGCTATTACTAGGTTAATGAAGTTTCATATTCAGCAATTTTATTACAGATTTAAGGGGTGTATTCAATTGAGATTTTAAAATACTATTTTGAGATAAATAAGTTATGTGGTATTCAATTAAGACTTTCAAATAATCTAAATAAGTCTTGTCGTATTCTATTAAGACTATTAGGATTTTTAAAAGAGATATTTAGTAATATACCCATTCTTAGCACTAAAACTATAAATAAACCCTACATCATTTTATTTTTATAAACATACCCAAAAAAAAACCCAAAAAATGACAAATTGTACTATTAAATTTAATTTTAATTATTAAATTACTTTGATATCCTATTGAGTGTTTTGGGCTTTTTTATGAAATTTTGGGTTGGGTTTGTTTTAAGAAATCAATGGCAATTTTGTAATTTAAAAGAAGTTAAAAGCCTTTTTGTTATGTTATAAATGGGTTTTGGGTGTGTTTATAAATTCCATTTCATATAGAGTTTTTTTATAATTTGGGCTCCTATATTGGGTATATTAGTGAATCTCCCTTTTAAAAGAGATATTTAGTAATATACCCATTCTTAGCACTAAAACTATAAATAAACCCTACATCATTTTATTTTTATAAACATACCCAAAAAAAAACCCAAAAAATGACAAATTGTACTATTAAATTTAATTTTAATTATTAAATTACTTTGATATCCTATTGAGTGTTTTGGGCTTTTTTATGAAATTTTGGGTTGGGTTTGTTTTAAGAAATCAATGGCAATTTTGTAATTTAAAAGAAGTTAAAAGCCTTTTTGTTATGTTATAAATGGGTTTTGGGTGTGTTTATAAATTCCATTTCATATAGAGTTTTTTTATAATTTGGGCTCCTATATTGGGTATATTAGTGAATCTCCCTTTTTAAAATACAGTTATCAAATCTATTGGTATTCAATTAAGACTTTAGACAAGTAACAAAAAGTCTTATGGTATTCAAAAACTTGCTAATTTCGCAGGGTTTTTTAAAATGTGAGTTTGTGTGGGAGTTTTTAGTGGGATGTATAAATACCAAGCCTTATCTCAAATCTCAACCTAACCCATCAGACTTTTCACATGAGATTTTTTAATTTTATTTCCCCACCTTGACCTCCATCCAAGTAGTTGTGCATTGGGTATAAGCCATGGCGACCAAACCACCAATGAAGACCACTAAGTATAAGTAATAATGTTCTTCCTTCACATGATGACCAAACCACCAATACCCAAAAGCATTTGAAATTGTTGGCTTTGATCGATGTGATGCACTGTATATAAATAGTTAGTTTATGTTGTTTGGGCACAATCGGGTTTGCAAGGCAAGTGTTTGATGAAATGATTGTTAGAGATATGGTTTCTTGGATCTATGATTGCAAGATATGAAGCTTGGTGTGCTCCTTGTTTGTTCAAATTGTTTACCCTTTTTTTCTTTTTAAATTTCTTTCATCAGTGCGCAATTTGGATCATGTAGTTTCTGCCTTCTTATGCACCAGTTATTACTTAAAAGATGTTTTATGGCAGTACATAGAACCAAATGTTAACTAGTTAGTCATTCTTTAGAGCTCTACTAAAACAACTTTTCCTAAACACATGTATATTATTATTCATATTCGTTTCCTTCTTTTGTGATGCTTTTAAGGTTTTCAAGATAAGAAACTAGCGAATGAAAATCCAAATTCATTCACTTTGGTAAGCATGCTTTCTGCTTGTTCCTGTCTACTTGATTTTAGAGTAAGGAGAGTCCATTCATTAAAAAATCTTGATTATAGAAATCCATAAATAAAATCCTATAAGTCATTATATTCTGCTTAAATTCACTAGACTTTTTTTTAATCCCAAATAGTCTTCTAAAATCTCAATTGAATACACTAGATGCTATTTTTGTTGTTGGTCAAAGGTAGATGCTTAACATGTTAAATTGTTTGGTAAAATAACATTATATATTGGCAAAAAGTCACTTTTCGTCCCTATAGCTTGACGAAATTTCCACTTTAGTCTCCATGGTCTTAATTTTGACAATTTGAACCATGTACCTTGATTTTATTGCAATTTAAAGACATGTCCAAATTTTGGTCCAATTTCTTGACGAAATAAACACATGTCCCTTACGTGGGGAGTATTTTGGATGAAAATTCAGATGTGTCCTTGAATTGCAATAGAATCAAACTACATAGGTTAAATTGATAAAAGAACTAAAGTGAAAAGACCGACAAACTACAGGGACCAAAAGTGACTTTTTCCATATATATGATTACTTGAAACTTGGGCGTACGCCATAAGTTTTTTCAGCAACCAAACCCTACCCCTCTCTCCCCAATAAACTCCCAGCCGCTTTACAAGTAGAAAAATAAAGTACGTCGGTACTGTATTTTCGTACCAATTACGATGGTAGAAGAAAAATGGACTCAATTGCAATACTACCAAGCTTCAAACTGTTTTTCTTTCCTAGGTTCTGAGAAGACTTCTCCCAACACTCATTCTGTGGCAAGGTAATAGGGTATCCAGGAATCTTACAACTTCTACCGTTATTATTGTACAATTCCTTAGTTGCATAAGGACCACAAAATAAATATCTTGAACAAGTGGAAACACCTTTTTTCCCACACACACTATATTGAAACCACTTCACTCTCCACTACCTGTACATGGACTAATAGGCAACAAATTAAAGTAATCATCTTGTAATCTTAATCTAAAGCAACTTTCATGGTCATGAAGTAACCCTTAATCTTCTTCAAGGGGTGACACTTCCATTTCGGATATCCATTTTCTTCAGCTTTTTGGAGTGTCACACTAGGCTGGCTGTCGTTTTGTGAAATTTTGTTTGTGGAAACACATGCATCATGCACCAAGTGCTCTGAAAAATTACCATGATGGACTTTTGTTGCTTTTAGTATTCTCTACCACTGCAATGGCTTCATGTATTTAAGGTCTGTATTGAGATTGTGAGTTAAGCTCTGTCTGCTACAGATCATGCACTGAAAACCCTGATCTGTGAAGACAAGCTTTCGATGGGCACGTTTGTTGGACACATAGTTCCCGGGTTTGCACTCACCCTCCTTGGTTTATGGCACACCATCAACACTATCAGATCTTATTTTCTCAGGGGCCCTAGTAACTTTAGAGTAAGGTTTTGGCACCCATTCAATTCCCCTCTTTCCAAACTCAAACACTTGGAGCTCATTTTCATCTTATCTTTCTCTGTATTGGCAATTTTCATGCAAGTTTTAGACTTCCCTTTTCTTCAACTCTCTTTCAAGCTCCACAACTTGGAGCATGCAACTATGTTCCTCCACCTAGTCGTATTTGCAGGATTTACGCTTTGTGCTGAGTTGATTCATCCGTTTCAGACCCTATCTGGGGTTGTTGGAATGCTAGTAGCATCTGTTTTCTGTCAAGAGCTTTTCCTACTTCATTTCCACTCTGCTGACCATGTTGGTCTTGAAGGGCATTACCATTGGCTGCTGCAGCTCATAGTGTTTGTTTCTGTCATGGCAGCTTTGGCAGCAACTTGTTGCCAAACCAGTCTTCCTGCAGCACTTGTTCTTTCAATTTCAGTGGTATTTCAAGGTTGCTGGTTTATTAACATGGGGTTTTTTCTCTGGGTTCCTAGGTTTGTTCCAAAGGGTTGTGTTGTCCATTATGTAGAGGGCACCAATGATACCATGCTTGGAGCCGTAACTTGTCAGTCAAGTGAGGCTGATTTTAGGGCAAGAGCATTGGCCAACTTGCAATTTAGTTGGATACTTTCTGGAATTTTGATATTCACAGGTTGTACATGCCTGAAATTTGCTGTCAAATGCATTCCAAGGGACCTGCCAATAGAGTATGAGCAACTCCATAGCAGAGGAGCAGATGTCCCTATAGTCATAAATGATTTCAAAGATGCTCATCCATAGAATTTTTAGTAGTAAATAGGAGCAAGTCCAATGTCCTTTGCAAGGACAACATATATGACACTTGATTTCTGGGATCAATAATGTATCAAAATTGGGCTGGAGTAGCTCTTTGATATTTGTTTCCACAATTTCAAATTATATATCTTGATATTATGAGATTTTCTTATTTATGGTGAGAGAACTGAAAAGGTAACATTGAACCCTCATGTACTCTGGTTGGGCATGTATAGCCATTTTCTATGAGAAATCATTTATATTGTTGCCCTAACATTTTTAAATAATCCAGGGCAAATTTTGTCTCTAGAGCATCTCCACCTGATATGTCAAACTATTGTGTGCACATGAAATGGTAAAAATGGAAAGGAAAGAAGATTACTTCAACCAAGTTGGAGATAAAAATAAATAATCACATGAGCTCCATTTGTGCTTAAAGATATAATAAAATAATATAGTTTATGATAATAGAGAAAAAAAAATTACAATGTGCCAGATTGGAACCTAATTCATCAACTAGATCAGTGTCACTCTCAAATGCTTAAACAATTAAATTTGTCCTAACTTGGCCAACTAATGCCACTAAAATTTCAATGCATGGATTATCATCTGACCTGACCAGTAAAAGAAATAAAAAAATTCCAAAACTGTCTACAAGAAAAAGGGGATGCCCCCAGTCTTTTTAGAGATTCAGAAAGATTTTACTCTTTTTGTTATAGTTTGTTTTCAATCATTTGGGAGATGAACTACTTTGTTGGTAAAGCTGGTGCACAATAAGATGCAAGTATATACACAAGAATGAAAAAACTTGGTCCAGATCCTATTTCTTGAACTGGTTTATTTATCCAATGGAAACTTTAGATTGGATGCCTGTTGCTAGTTTGGCTTAGATTAGATATCCAACTCAATGCACCAGAAAATGAAAATATATAAATCATTGCTACATACATCAAATGAAGTATTTAAAGAGAGATACAATGTAAATATTTAGCAAAACACAGAACCAACCATCACATAATTCTTACTCAGCCTCAGCTGCCTCCTCCACGGATGCTTCGATTCGAAGAAGAACAAACCCTACTGCAACTCCAACAAGTGTAAGCCCATTCATGATTGCTGCAATCTTGAAAATCTCCCCAACAGCATTGCAGGTAGAGGAGAGTGCCCCTCCTCCACCTCTGCCTTTGCCCTGTGAAGGGGCTCTCAAGGAGCTCACGATCTTTGCAAAGGACTGCTCAGTGCCCTGTGGAAGGCCAAGAGAGGCCACACTGCTGTGAGCTTTCAGCCCAGAAAATGAATTGAGCCCTGTTATGTAATTCACATTGTTTGCTGCCCTCCTTGGCTTGGCCACTGTGGTTGTGGTGAACATTGCTGGAGACACAGTAGCTGAGGCTGTTGCCATTGTGGAAAACTTCTGCAGAGGAGAGGAAAAAAAATTGGTACAAAGATTTAGACAAGATTAACTAAGAACAGATTTTGCTGGTAATGAAATAGAAGGAACCCTTTGTGTAGGGAAGGAGTATATTGTCACCTTTTTTTTCTTTTCTGTGGTGGTGCTTGAATTTTTTCAGGCTTCTGCAAGTACAAAGATGATGGGAAAAGCAAATGAGTGACTTTGTATTGGCATGGCATAAAAGATGAACGGATAAGGTGAGGAGGGGGATGGTTGGTGGACAAGAAGATTTGGATTGGCTCAGTTTCTAGAGAGATTGTGCAACTTTAAATGGTGGCCAAGGAAAAACATAAAACCATGGCTTGACAATAAAGAACAAAGATTGACTACAATCCTTGTTTTCTTTGAGGCTGGGTCTTTTTTAACATGTTGGAATAATATGGGCCGAAACTACCACCTACAAAATTTAACCATTGGGCCTTCTCCATGAGATCAACTTTCAACGATTGATAATCTAATATAAATTAAAGAGGGAGATTTGAACTCGGTTGAAGAGTGAGGAACATATCCGCTCTAGCCAACCTAACATGTATTTTTTACACAACAAACCTTTTCTCATCTAGCAAAGTAAATGAATGTTTTATATAAGATTAGACTATAGTTTGTATAAAAAAATTAATAAACAAAGCTTTAAAAGCAGACCACAGAATTGAATTGAATAGTTGGCTTAGAGCGAAAGGTTATTGGAACGGAAGGGGAAAAAAAAGTAAATAATAAAAATGAAACGTATTTATATTAAAACATATAAAGAACTAACAACAGAGTCGTTGTAGTATAGTGGTAAGTATTCCCGCCTGTCACGCGGGTGACCCGGGTTCGATCCCCGGCAACGGCGATTTATTTTTTTAGTTCAACGTTCCAAACTCTTTGTTTACCTTTTTCTCCATTTCTCACTAACCAATCATCAAAATAGTTAATGAACCCATTCCAAACTCTCTCTCTCTTTTTCCTTTTCTTTCTCTCTCTATTTTCTCAGCAACCAATCACTAAATAAAACACTAATGAACCCACCAGATTCCAGAAGAAGAACATGGTGGCCCTTTAGTTTCTTTTTTCTTTTTCCTGCTGGTGGGAAATTATAAATGTTAATGACTTTTTGGAATTATATGACCAAATTATAGCGACAAATCGATTAGATGCTTACAAAATGTCAAGCTCAAAACTTATGAATATGATGACCCTTAAACTCAAACAAATGCAACTTACAACTACACACAAACACATCCACACACAGAGAGAGAGAGAGAGAGAGAGAGAGAGAGAGAGAGAGAACACAAAGTAAAAGAAGAACAGCTGAGCCCAAAGATAAAAAATAAAAGAAGATCATTCGAAGTGTAAAGCAAAGAAAAGGAGAACCCATTACGCATCCGAAGCCCCCACAAGCCAAACCACATTAAAGCAAACATCAAACTAAAATAAAACAAATTATTTTCATAAAAAAAAGGCAGAAATCTTCCCATGAACTTAAGCTCAATATATAAAATGGAACTTTGCCAAGATGTTTTATATTCTACTTCCGAGAGATGCGATAAATAAATATGATACAAATAATTTTATTATTTCGTTTTGATTTTAAAAGAAGACTTGCATGTGAATTATCTTAAGCCCAGGCTCTTAGCCTACTAACTTTTTTTTTATTGTTTTTTTGCCTTGGCCTCAGCCAACCACCTTTTCAAAAAGCACAGCTTGCTTTCGGACATAAAATAGTATAAATCTTGTAGTTTTCTATTTCTCAACTTTTCAAAACTTCCAAATCGAGTATTAGGTAGTCTTGTCCATCTTATTAAAATGAAGATATAAAAATATTTATATATTTGACCTAATGTATAATCAATCACCATATTCTCTTATTAGGTAATAATAATTAAATTGTTTGTAGCTACGACATTTGAAGTTAATAATTTAAAAACATAACATGTTAAACTGTCTAATATCCGTAAACACTAAGAAGCGATAAAGAATGAAGCAAAAACCCCCCAAAAGGTCATGGCAAATTACAACCTAGTTGAAATTTTCATGTATTTTTTAGCTGGTCAAAAGAAGAAAGGAAATATTCCCACGATCCAAACAATCCCCCCATCTTTTGGCTTTTTCGCGAGTCCTTCACGAAATGTGGACCAAGCCACCTCTTGGCCAACCCCCACTCTCCCACTTGAGAAAAATAAAAAATTATACAAACATTATAAAGAAAAAGAATAAGCTTGTATGAAGTAAAAGACAAAAAATTACTTGTTACAAGTAGCATCTTGAGCTGACTCAGCTTAAGATGCGACCCTTTCCCTTTTCCACAGCTTAATTTTCGGCAACCAAACAGAACTGTGACTTCTCTTCTTGGATAATAGAGGATGTATAGCATTAACTTGTGGAAGAGGCCAGCTCTTTTTGGTGTACTGACTTGATTGATCCCTTGGTTTGATATGAACGAAGTGTACTGACTTGATTGATCCCTTGGTTTGATATGAACGAATTTGTGTTCGTTCGTACGAGAGTTGATGTGTTAATTAACAGTTGATTATGATCAGTAATGTGCTTAGCTAATGATCAAAATGTTATTTTTATTGCAAACAGGTGTCATGTTGTGAATTTTTCAGTTGCAGCTGCCCAACTCATCAAATACCAACCCATGAAAGTCATCAACCACTTCCGTTGATCTCTATAAAATTCTGGAAAAGGTTGCCACAAAAAGAAAGAACTGAGCCGAAAGTATAATATAATGAGGCTTTTCCTTTTGGACATTTAGAATGAGAATAGTGACTTTGAGTGAGTGAGGCCTATCCTTTTCCCCCCCCTTTTTTTCTTTTCTTTATTAAAAAAATTATAAAGACAACCTAAAAAGATGGTTTTCAAGGAGATTCTGAATTCTTTTCTTTTTTACCATATTTCTAAACCCTGTGCTCTCTCCACCTGAGCTTATGAATATCTAGCATCTGAAGATCAGACGAAATGTCACATAAAAAGAAAGAATTAAAAAAAAGGTGTCCTCAGCTGTACATATGCAAATGAGAATGAAGGATGGTCGAACACAAACAAATGTTTTGAACAAAAGTTAACAACACCATGAATAAGAAAATTGAGAAGATTAGGATCCTAGTATTGCACAATCTATTTACAGTGCTTGTCAAGACACAAAAATTTGTATTGAAACTCCTAAACAAAGAAAAAAGTTTCCACTATGTCATCCTGAAAAGTTCCACTAAGTCCACATGAACAACGCAGATCACTACCCAAAGAGGAGATTCTTTGATACAGTTTAGACATCCAAATTTACCAGCCAGGTAGCCGCTAATTTCTAATCATTTTAGCTTGGCTGGCATTTTGCTGTGGAGGTTGGTTCACAAATCCTGCAGCTTCGACGACACAAAATACAGTAACTTTCAGCACAACCTCCTTTATCTTGAGCAACTCGAAGACACAAACATCTCCCTCTCCCAAATTGTTCTCCAGCGTAAACTCATACCATCCCTGGCTTAATTTTGCTCTACCTCCTCTGTAAAGGCATCGAACCGGCCACTGTCTACCATCAGAGGATTGAAGTTTGATGAATCCCGAAACTCCATTTAAATTCTTTTCGGCAAAGCAGGATGGCAAATACTGCACGAGGAAAAAGACACTTTAAGCCAAGATGTAACAATTTGAAATCGACAAACAAGCTATAGCACATCTTAATGAACGACTCACCATTATGCAACCCCTATATAGATAGGATGGTCGAAGGACAACCCTGCAAAAAGGATTAACTGGCTCAAACGTTTTGGCTGCATTAATAGCCCTTTCTCTTTCTTCAGCTGTCACAGTTCTCTTCCTTGCAGATGCACTTTCATAAAATCTAAAGCGTATTTCAACTTCTTTTTCATGTTGAGAAGAAGACTCCTGCACAGCTGCACTTCCGTAGAATTAATAGTGAGATTCAAATTTCCCATCAACAGACTATGACAATCAATATGAGTTAGAGAACTTACTAGGATCAAGTTTTCGTTTTTTTCTCATAGTCTTCTTCATGCTTCGTATATCTTCACCTGAACTACGCAATTTAACTTCATCCACAGTCTTTTTAAGCTCTGTTACATTAAATTGAACACCTATCTCTCGACTAGATTGGTTACCTGCTTGTAGACCAGAACCCTTTGATGGATGCGGGTTCCCTGCATCAGGCCAATTCGTGCAATTCTTAGGTTTGGAGCCATTAAACAAATTCTGCAGAGCTGGAGGATTATAATCTTTTCCAGGGATCGGTTGATTAGCACAGTCGCCAAAGAGCTTGTCTCTCAATGAATCAGTAACAATGGATTTGGGGGAGGAACCCAAGATTTCGACAGAGTCATCGTCTTCCATTTCTTCAAATACTTGATGTCTGTAAACAGACCCTCCAGTACTACTGAGAGCATTAGGTTGATAGTTAATCTCAGCAGTGGTCAAATTAAATATATGAACAGTGAAAGACGAATGTCCTTCATATCGGAAGGTTAAAAAGTATCCGACACGGATTGAATAACGTTCAATGAATTCCTGCCAGCCATCATGAAACCAAAACTTGTTGTCAGCCTTCTTTATTAATACACGCCAAACATTACCATCTGGAACACTCAGCGTAGCAACAGTGGATAGATCGTCTCTGAATTTCTTGACAAAATTTTCTGGGATCATCTACAATTACAAAAATAAAGCAAGGCTTTTTAGCGAGAATAAAATGACCGCCATGTTAAGTTGTAAATGAACTCTTGTTGTTTTTTTTTTTTTTTTTTTTTTTTTTTCGTTGTGCCATTGTATATATGTATAATATCAGTATAATTTGCATAAAACATAAACCTGAACAGTGCAAACTTATCACCTAAAATGATAGCATTCCAGAAAAGAAATCAGAATTACTGACAGTGGCACAATATAATACCAAAAGTAAAATTATTTTCCCCACTATATCATATTCATCAAATTTTAAGTTTCAGGTCCAAGAAAGTGACTCTGGATCCAATTAGATAATTACACGAACATAACCTGTGTTATTTGTATGAAACAAATTCATATTGTTTCAGAGGCCTTCCAAAGGAATGCAGGAAGTCAACCATAATTATTTTCAGAGACAAACATGACTAGAAAAATAGCAGAGGCGACCATTCAGAAGCAGATCACTTTTTGTATGCTCCTAAACAATCACACTTGAGGGACCCCAAATAGAGTAAGATCAATGCTACCATACGGGGAGTTATTTATACAGGTAAAATACAATTACAACTTATTTATTGGCTCCAATGCAACTATTTTTTTCAATAAGACATGTTAGACGGCTGGCAGAGCATTATAACTCTCTTTTTCAATGAATGGCAGAAGATTAACAAAAATAGTTGAAAAGGCTCAAGCACCAGTTTTGTCAATAAGTAAAATTAGTATAAATTAGGTTTCCAGTTATACAGTTATTTGTCAATAAGCAATTGGTCCCAGAAGGTTTATAATCTCAGAATAACTTTCTTTCTAACCAAACAGAGCAAAACTGGTATAAACATTTTATGTATTTTCATCTTTTCAGTCCAGTAAGACATAAATTTAGCAGCCTAATTGAGTTTTGATCCTTATAAATATCAAGAACGAAATTCATTAAAAAAAAGAATTTAAAACAAACAAACAAACTCAATTTTATAATTCAAATTTCGTTTCGAAAAAAATTCAACTAACCATTCCTTATGTAAACAAACAAGTTCTAAAGTTCTGGGATTTCTATTAGAACATCCTGTGACTAAAATTGAAAGAAAATATCTAAACAACCTTGATTAGCTAGTCACATCTTTGGCTTTACTAATCTCAGCATACAAGCAAACCAAAGTTTCACCCTTTAGGTTTTGACCCACCCCAAAAAAAACAAAAAAAAATACCCCAAGATGGGAATTTGAAGGATTCACTTTCCTCTCCTAAGTGGGTCTGCAAAGTCTTCAAGAAAGAGAAGAAAAGTTTCCAATTTGCCATCTGGGTTTCACACACCCAATTTTCTCAGTGACCAAAGCAAAACAAGCACCAAACTACAATCAAGAACAATTAAAGAAAAACAAAAACCCATAAAAACCCACAATTTTTAAATAAAAAAAATTCAAGAGAGAGAAAGAGGGTACCAGCTGTTTGGCTTGGAGAGTAGAGGAAAGAATCAGCTTGTGAAAACAAGGGCGTATCATGTTTTTCATTTTTGTTGGGTTTTTTTGGGTTTGAGTTTTGAAGCAAGAATTAAATTTTGGTGTTAGAAGAAAGGCATTGAAACTCTGTAACTTTTGCAGGGTGAGATTGGCTGAGAAAGGCTGTTTGTGTGTCTGCTTTCAGATCTGAGTTTTAACCCTACAATAGGCTAGAGGCCTACATAAACACTTAACTGGTTTTTAGAGTCAAACACTCGGTTTAAAAAACCTAACCTTGTACAAATACATCTACTCTCTCTAATCTCTACTTGACCTAAAAGTTGAACAAGTCGAAGCTGGGTCCATCTTTTGTCCATATACCTGCTTGAGTCCATTGGGTATACGGGTCGGGTTCCTCACAACAATTAACCCACTAATCAATTTTCTTGTTTTTCTTTGTTTTTTAAAAGCAAAGTGTATAAATCACAACTTGTGATATGGTTGGCAAATTCCCACTTTCAGCTGGTGAACTACTTGATGCCTCAATGATAGGGGTTCGAAATTCTTTGGAAGCACATTGTGACTTCAGGCAAACCGAATCTCGAGCAGGATTAATCCTGTCCTTTGAGTGTGGGAACACTTCGTGATATTTACCAAACAAAAAAGCAAAGTGTATACATAATTTCTTGTTAAATACGGTTCTAGGATACAGTTGTGGATGTGATTTTTTATACTGTTTGATCGACCAACATCCACAGGACTGATACACCGCCTGTGCAAACAATATGTACGCACAATGCTCACGCCCGCACTAGAAAATCTCTTCAAACATACTACAAAAAGAATAGATACTTTAAAAAAGTTGCCTCTATTTAAACTCCACGAACTTTATCTAATAAATGCTTTAAAAACTCTGAAATCAAAAACTGCTTCCTCTTTCCTTCCTCCTCTTCTCTCTCCTCGCTCTTGGTTTTGACTAGGGGCGGCTCTAGGCAACAAAGATGATGAGGGAATGGTATTGGAACCTCTCAAAGTATGTAACCAAATTTTCTAGCAATGAAATTATTATTATTGGTACTTCAAAAAATTATTACGAATTCCTCAATATAAAATATAAGGAGAATTCAACTTGAAAGAGTGCATGAAGACTTTTTTGGAACATCTATAGTTGTAAGCATACTTTTTCAACCTTGAATTTAGAAAATAAAATTAGGGATCCCCGACCCGTACACAATAGACCTAGAATCTAAACTTAAGACCTGGGGGGGGTTTTTTTTTTTTTTTTTTTTGGTTTTTTGGGTTTTTTTTTTTTATTTTTTATAAATTTTTTTTGTATAAATAAATATAATATAAAGATTTTGCCTAGGATTTATTGGTGGCCTATTATTTAGAAGAGCCATTCCAATGCAAGCTTAATGCTAAAGTAGCGGTTATAATAATCTCCAAAGCAACCTTCTAAGGTATGAAATTAAATACTATATTTTCTTGGTTAGCAACCAGCAATATTTAAAATAATAATAATAATAATAATAAATTTCAATGTTGATCCAATCAATACCAAATGAAATTTAGTTTTTGTAATACCTACCCACCAAAGCTCAAATATTTTTTTAAAAAAATATATACCATTTCTTTTTGCAACAAGATGTACTTTAATAATGTACACGTGTCAAATCAGGGAGGGCAGCCATATGCATTCTTGCATTAGGCTTGCAATATGAGGAGGCAAACACTGTTTATACTAGTTGGACTACAGAGAATTCAAGAGTGTTTTTTCATTGAATTTTTAAAAAAATTGAGAAGAAAAAAAAAAGTGTATCCTCAAATATCCAAAGAGGCTCATTTCTATTTTCCTTGGAGAGAATTATTTCGTATTGGAGTCTTTTCAATTAACTTCATAGATTTTGCACCAGGGTGCTTACTGGTTAGAATTATTTATTAGTATTGGACTCTTTTCAATTAACCTGATAGATTTTGCACCATGGTGCTTACTGGTTAGTGCTACTTATTATGGGAGCATATACAGTCATTGGAAACTATCACTAACTAGATATTAAACTTATCACAAATATATATCGTCCTTGTCATTCAAGACTAGATATCAAACTCATCACTAATATATATCATACGTCCTTGTCATTCATGTGAGTCGAACCTAAAACCTCATCAAATCAAACGGAGATAAATATCACTAAACCAACACTGTTGGTTATGTCATCATGTTATATATCCAAATGAAATAAGTACCATACATGTGGATAGAATAGGCACTAAATGAAAGAGTAATAGGGAAAAGTGACAATTGTTCACTGATATAAACTTAGATGGACTTCCACTTCTGTCAAGTAGAGGATTAATTACTTATTATTAGTGTTCACCAGAATAAGCAAAAGACACAATCAACTACTGCTGCTTTTTATGCTACGCACGCAGGGTGGGTGTAGGCATTCATGATTGAACATGATAGCCATAGTTTTTTTATATTTATATAAAAGGAATTAGTGATTTATTATAGCATATGTTGGTAATTTTTATTATTTATTTATTTTCATTTTCACTATTTAATCAATCAAGAAGTCAATAATCATTGTATTGTAGGCATGGGGAAAGAAATAATATTTATTGTACACCTTTTCATGTGGAGGCAGATCATTAGATGGAAAAGAAATAATGGAGAGTTAGAAACCAAGAGCTCACAACCAAAATACCATCAAACCCCCACTTCCGGAAAATGCCTCAACTATGCAAAGTATGGCCGGGCTTGATTTGGTTAGCTTTTTGCAAAAGCAAATCCACCCTGCAGAAAAGAAGTGAGTTCCACTGGCAGAGACAACCTTCACTTCCCATCTGCCATGTCAACAAGTTCTTGTTTAGTATGTACTTCAAAGGGAACTTCGGTTGAGGCCGGCACCACACCTCTCTCAAAGGAGATAGACTTTTATGAAACATGGATAGCACTATTTTGCTATTTTTGGCCAATAATGCTATAACACACGTGATAATACTTCCACATGTCATAATATTATTGATCGAAGATAACAAAACAATGTTATCTCCGCAATAATTTTTCTCCTCTCAAAGAATAGCTAATTAATGACCTCAAGTAAAGATCAAATGCAAAAATGCACTCGAATCTTGATGCAAGAGAATGTGATGTTTACACACATCAGCGTTTGTTTTTCTCACATCCTAAAATTGATAACAAGAAGAACAAGGCATGTTTATTGTGCTCATTCATTTGGATATATAATATAAATGGCATGTTTTTCTCGCTATCCAAATGAAATATTCAAAGAAACAAACTACCAGAATAATAAAAAGAAAGAAAAAAAAATTTACATTTGGAATAATTATGGGCACTGCAGTAGGGTTGGTAAATTCTTTAATAAAACATTCACATTGCTCTTAACTGCTGTACAATCATAGTCAATGCAATTTGACTGGAAAAAAATAAGAAAGAGTCAATGATCATATTGGGTTGGCAGGTAATTGAAAAAAGGAAGCAAATCACTTTTTTTTCTTGGTTGTGTGAAAAAGAAACACACTGACTGCACTATCTCCTACTTCATGGAGTCTCAAATCAAATTTTGAGGGATTTAGCTATTTAGAATAATGGTGGATGAGAAGAGAATGTTCGTAACTTTTATAATTTAATACGGCTTAGAAATATAAGATAAGTGTAAAAATAACACAACTCTTTCAATAAATTTGTGCCAAATGATCACCAACTTCAACTGATCGAATATTTTGTTGAACTTCCAACTATGTAAAGGATTATATAGAAATAGATTTGAGGTCACAAATAATCCAGAACTGATTAAGTTCTAACTATTAAACATAAAAAAATTAGTAGACTTGCACCAACATCTAACTTCTTAATCCGAAATATAACTAACTATTTGCAATACAACATTAAGCAGTAACAAAGGCCATTAAAATTAGCTTAAGTTACCACATTATCTCTTCCTCAAAATGTGAACCATCATCTGGTACCGGCTCAAAAGCTCAAATATGCAAGTGTCGCCGATACGGATTTGGTTAGCAGATGCAAATTTATACCACCCTGCAGAAAAGTTGTGTGACTGAGGGGAATTAGGGATACAATTCACGGTCCATTTTCCCCCCTCTGCGTTTTTCAGGATAGCCTTAAAACCTTTGCCTTGAGGAAAATGCTCCCTAGAGAAGGCTGTGGGGATGAACTGCATGAGCGAAATCCAATATGTCAATTGAGAATTTGACAAGTGAGGAGGGAGAAGAGTGTGTGTGTGTGAGAGAGAGAGAGAGAGAGGACCAAAAGTTGAAACAGCACCAATCAGCAGAGTAAGAAACCGAGATAAAGATTCATAAGATTTTTATTCTAGTTTTCTACATGGTAATATAGTCTACAAGTACAAATTGATGGCCTTACACATTCAAATTGATATTTCCCAAGCTTAATAACAATATGTTAAAACCTGCAGTTAATCATATAAATATAATTATAACTGTCGCTTCTTGTGAATCAAGTTATTAGAAGCCTAAACCGTGAACATTCTCGTTTCCTTAACAAGTTAACATATACTTTATGTAAATGCAAGTTACTGCTGCCAACGGCAGTGATATTTTATCTTTTATATATATATATATATATATCCTTTCTCTAACTGCATATATGAGAAATTTCATTTCTTGGATGCTTGTTAAGCATGTTAAGTCTATTGCACAAAGAGGACTGATAGTGAGGAACAAAATTGGTGCCCTAAAGCTAAACTAAAGGAATAAAAACAAAGTTAAAGGTTGCCTTGCTTACCTGACATTTAGTTTGTCTGATGATGCCTTTAAAATAAGGGAAGTTAGATTTGAAAGCTTCAGGCTCAACACCTTCCAAATCCTCAGATGTGCTGTCTTCAGAATCTTCTTCCTCTTCTTTGATCTCATTGAGCTCAATGGATTCAGAACTTGAAAGTTCTTCACCTGCAGTTTCACATCCAAAATGAAACATAGCAAGCAGAGATATAAGATATATGGGTTCCGCTAGTGATATATGCACATGATATATAGGTACAGCAACATCTGATCACATACCCGATTCAACTTTGCAAGACTTCGATGGACGAGGCTTCGAAGAACTCACAGGGTATTTTCTTGGTCTGCCACGAGGCCTTTTAGTAGTATTTTTAGCAAGGGAGTTGTGAAGTGATCCAATCTTGGTAAAATCAGCTTCCAAATCCTCCGATGTGTTGTCTTCAGAATCTTCCTCCTCTTCCTCGGAACTTGAAAGTTCTTCAGTTCTCTCAATCCCATTCTTGCCAAAAATCCTTACGCTGAAATGCATCTTTCCCTCATAGAAAATTTGTAGCATCTCATTGTCAGTGCCCAAGGAGTTATCCTTTATAAACTCCTCCCAGCCATTCTTGAAATACACAGCACCTTCTCTTGTCTTATTCACTGTAACAGTCCATGAAGAATCTGACGAATCCTTTAGTTTCAATATTGCTCTCGCCGACAAGTCCTTCAACATATGTTTCAAGAACTTTTGTGGGATACGCTTAAAAAAAACAAAGATAACAGAAATTTCAGAATATATGCACTTGGTAAAGATTTTAAACAGACACCTACTGCAAAATTACAACATTCCAAGATCAAGTGCAGGACATTAATACACAACACTAGTTGAAAATTGAAATTAATTACCACACAGTCAGTGTTGAAACCAGCGAGAAGCTTGAAAAATGACTGCTTCTCCTCTTCATTCTTGGATATTTTTCTCACCATTTTCTCCTCTGTTTGAGCTGATAATGATGCTCTGTACAATCAATATTATTGGTAAGTAAAGGAAGAATCTTTAAACAGAAAAAGAAGAGATAAATGGTGAAATCGCAACCGAAGAAGCACAAACAAACCACCAAACTAACATGAAGTTCAGCTTCTGATAAGTAACAGTGTTAGAGTTCACCCAAAAACAAAGATAACCAGGAATTCACTACAAAAACAACATGATTTCATCCATTGATGGGGACAATACAACTAAAGAAAGAATATTTTATGCTGAAAAAAGGAGTTACAGGAAGAAAAAATCCGACACCCAAAACACAAACAAACTACCCCAGCTAACATGAAATTAAAAAAGCAAAATAGCGAGGAACACGAACCAGCATACGAAGTGGAAGCAAAGATGCAACAAGGAAGAGAAACAAGCAAGAAGAAACACCTAACAAAAAATAAAAATGAACAGATAAATACAGGAAACAGATCTGTAACTCTAAGCTGAAAGGCAACCCAGTTGATAACCTGTGTTTTTTAGGATTTTGCTGAGAAGTAACTGCTGCTGCTGACTGAGTGGACTGAGAAGCCAAGAAGATGGAGAGAGAAGAAAACTGAGGACTGAGAAACGAAGATGAGAGAGTGAAGAAAGTAGCTCGCTCACTCCACCACACTTGAGACTCCGAATATTGGATGGGGGTTGTTTTAAGCCTTTTCCGTACTGTACGGAATTAAGGAAAAAAAAGACAATCGCATTTTTAAGTTCCCGTTAGACACGTGGCACGTCACATCTGTGGTCTGTTGTTTAACAGTGTTTAAGTCAATAGTTTTCTTAAATAAAGAAAACATTAATTTCAAAAGACAATCCCATTTTTGAGTTGGCATCTGGACACGTGGCACATCACATCTGTGGTGGTGTGTTGTTTACTGTCTGAAAAAACATTCCTTTCGTTGTGCGAGGAAGGACTAAATAATAAACAGTAATTAAGGATAAATAAGGACTTTATCACGATTTAATCAAAAGATCGCTCTATCATTGTGAATCTGCTTCCCCTCCTCCCCTACATTTACTGATTCATCTACCTCTGTCTCCCAACCAACAGCCATTAATAACTATGTTTGATTCCCAAATACCTCGGATCCTAGGCCCTTATTATTCTGTTCAAGGGGAGTCCTTAAATGGCCCATTATCGTATCAACCTACCAGAACAACACCAAATCGCAACCACCTCATTAATGTTCCTCTCTACTCTGATATATATTGGCCTAGTAAAAAAGAAATCTCACATGTTGATGGTTAAAAAAAGAGAACAATAATACCTGATAAGGGGTAAAAAGGCAACTAGAAGAGTGAGTAGTAGTATTTAATGAGTGATTAGGATATCTAAGGGTTTTAACAGATTAGAGGAAATTTTTGGGTTGAAATTGAAATGGAGGTCTAAGGTCATGGATTGATGCTACGTGAAGGTTTAGGGTTTAGGTTACTCTGATATATATTGGCCTAGTAAAAAAGAAATCTCACATGTTGAGGTTAAAAAGAGAACAATAATACCTGATAAGGGTAAAAAAGGCAACTAGAGAGTGAGTAGTTAGAGTATTAATGAGTGAGTTAGGATATCTAAGGGTTTTAACAGATTAGAGGAAATTTTGGGTTAAATTGAAATTGTGAGGTATAAGGTCATGGATTGATGCTACGTTGAAGCCTGATCGATTGAGTGAGACCGTATTGTTATAGAGCACCAAAATATATGGTAAGTTTTGATTTCATTTTAATTTGGTTTGGCTTTTTTATTTTCCTTATACCTCACAATTTCGATTTCAACCAAGATTTCCCCCAATGTGTTAAACCCTAATAGCACAATATACCTTGACTCGTGGAGTTAGAGGAAGAAGATTGAAGACACTTAAAACAAAAAAAACTAAACGACCAAAAAAAAAAAAAAAAAAAAAAAAATAACGTAAGGCATTAAAAGAATGTCGTAAATTGTAAACTTTGGGAAACACGGTGACCAATTTGGCTAAATTTTTTTCTCAGTAACCAAATTGAATTTCATATACACCCACGAATTAACCCATTATTTAATTACTATCCTCTCGGAGCTTGCGAGAGGCTTTTTTTAAAATAAATTTAAATTTATTTTAGAATTAAAAAAGATAACGAGTAGTTGTATTTCATAAAAATAGAATCAATTATCTGATTTTTCTTTTAATTTTAATATTTTTTTTTAATATGAAAAAGTGTGAATTTATCATATTATCCTCATTTAATTAAATTTCAATTCTTAATATTTGCATTAACCAAGGAGATTTTTGATATTTTGAATATTTTATCATTCTCTGATTTTGCTTTATATATAGATATTGAAGAGAAAAAAAATTAATGATCTTTGTTTCTTACAAAATTTGCCACGTGAAGAGCACCAACTTCCATAACCGTTTCCTAAACTCTTAGACAAGATCCAGCCAGTCTGCCGAGATAACCGTTTGGCGTGGTATCGATGAAACAATTCCAAGGAACACAAAACCCCAAAGGAAAACCTCATATCACTCTAATAATTTTATTACAAAGAAAATTTTAATTAACCAGTCGTCCATGTTTCTTTAAGAAATCCATTAACCCATGCCTGGCTTTATTAATCACTGATTAAACGCATAGATTCAAGAAACTTGTTGCGCAAACCTTGTTGTGAGCATTGGAAGAACATTCATTACCATTTTGGATATTGGTATATTATTTTTTATATAATTTTTTTCCTATATGGATTAGTTGTGCTTGATATTTGAGAATAGGGTCCTTTCTTGTGGATAAGTCTGTATATTTTGTGTTTTTTTTCTCTGTTTTTCTTTTTTTTTTTTTGTGTATAATTTTTATAAAAATTCTATGTTGTTTCGGTAGTGTTTTTTTTTTTTTTTTTTTTTTTTTTTTTTTTTTTTTTTTTTTTTTTTTTTTTTTTTTTTTTTTTTTTTTTTTTTTTTTTTTTTTTTTTTTTTTTTTTTTTTTTTTTTTTTTTTTTTTTTTTTTTTTTTTTTTTTTTTTTTTTTTTTTTTTTTTTTTTTTTTTTTTTTTTTTTTTTTTTTTTTTTTTTTTTTTTTTTTTTTTTTTTTTTTTTTTTTTTTTTTTTTTTTTTTTTTTTTTTTTTTTTTTTTTTTTTTTTTTTTTTTTTTTTTTTTTTTTTTTTTTTTTTTTTTTTTTTTTTTTTTTTTTTTTTTTTTTTTTTTTTTTTTTTTTTTTTTTTTTTTTTTTTTTTTTTTTTTTTTTTTTTTTTTTTTTTTTTTTTTTTTTTTTTTTGTTCGTAAGCTCACCATCCTTCTCACACATTAATGCATCCTCAACCCACATCTGAAGCAAGTCGGGACATTGTACTCCGCTTTATTAAAGACCAGTATCTGCAGAGTCTTTAATTTCGTTGCCATTTGCCATCTGACACCAATCCCAAATTTCGCAGTTTTCTTCCACCTCTTCAAAATGTATTTATCGGGCATATATTCAATCTGGTCCCTTCTGAACAATGCTAGGATGTGCTTGCAAATAATTCCAACAAATTCAAATCTTTTGCAGCTACACGATGCGTGGTCAGAATTTTTGACATATACGACTTCGCTTCTGCCACTCTTGTTTCCCAATTTTTTTCCTTTCGCTCACATTAAAGACAACTTTAGAAGCATCCTCTGTTTTCAGCTCTAGGAAACATGCTGTACTTTGTATTAGTTCTTGCTCAAACTTTTGAAACATTGTCCTTGTGTACAAGGTCCATTTGTTTGTTCATTGGCATCGGTAGAATACTTGAGCCACTCAAAATGCATCTACGTGATCAGCAACTACCTCTTTTTGACGTTGATGAGAAAGTGCCCTCCTCAAATCTATTATGAAATCCATCAACGAATTTTTCCTTGATGTATTGCTTGAAGAAACCATGAGAACATTCCGCTCTTTGGCTGCTTGACATTCCAGCGGCAAAAAATGTCGTGCGTCGGCTGGAATGGTCAGTCAACCCGCATTTGTAACCACATATTCCATTTGCATCAACTCCTCCTATTTGACAGATCCCATATGGCTTTCGGAATTCACCCCAATACGCCTTATCGCAGAATGTGGTAACTTAACATAGAACTTTGATGTGATGTGCCATATGCAAAGTCAAGAAATGTAGTCGGGAAGGCTTTGAAAATCACTCTGTCGTGGCCGCTCTGTCTGTTAATAATCGTTTTAGTTCGCCACCTGGCATGATTTCTTAAAGCCTCAACACCAAATAAAAACATCAGTCGTGTCCTTGCTTCAAAATGCGCATGCTGGACAATTGTTTGACCATGGTTATTAACTCCAACATGGTGCAAAGGTCAAGTCGTATATATTCGTGTTGAATTGGTATCGAAACAACAACATCTCCATAAACCCGTACGCCCGTCTAAGGTGCATCTGCCCAAAAACATCGACTAACCTGTTATCACCATCTCCCTCAATCTTGAAATAAAAAGCCTCATTTTTTTTCTGTTCAGCCATAAAATACTCGATCACTAGTTCAACATCATGGTTCCTCACTTCTCATTCACATTGCATTCCAGATTGAGACATCCTTTTTATAAAACCGATTTATCAATCCTCCGGATTGCACCTCGAAATACTTACCTTCTGATTAATGGAATATTAACCGAACCACTATTTTGGAGTACTTTTGTAGAATCTGAAATACGACGGTGTGATCTCGTAAATGCATCTTCCTGAGGGTGTCATCTTATGATTGTGTCCCTCTGCAAAAAGAGAGATGGTATACTTCTTGCTCCCATGTGTCTAACAACCACAATCTTAGCTTTGCAATTGCATCTACTTATTCCCGCTGTCTTTTTCTCTCCCGAGTTTCATCATTCTGGTATGCACCTTGTTTGCAACATACAATTCTTTTCTCAGAATCTCTTTCTTATTTTTCCCCAAAAGCTGGAATGAAGTCGAATACCAAAGCCAGCCAAAAATGCATATCTATTATAGAAATTATAAACGAGGTCAAGCGAGTCGAACTTCATCCCAACTGCTGGGTGTTTCCTCATTTCTTACTTCAGGAATGTAAACCCTCCCATTAGCTGTTACAGAGTCATCACTCTCTGAGCCCCCAGACATTTATTCACGTATATTATTGATCTACTTCTATATTACTGCATAGCAAATGTTAATTCATTAATCAATCATTACTGCATCACAACTTATCAATGCATTCCCACTTACACAAAACATTGCCCAAATTGACACAATACACGCATAGCCTAGCTTGTTGGTTCTGATTACACAAAACACAAGCAAATTTAATAATAGTTACGTCATCTCTTGTGAAATAATCTGGAAAAAATAACATTAGAACCAACATGTTCAACTAAGAACTCAAATGTAATTCAAACCAGCAATTACAGAACTTCACCCAATATCCTCTCCAAATGTTTGCTTCATTCTAATGCCATTAAGCTTAGTTTGATCTTTTACCTACATTTCATAATTTTCCAACCCCCCTCCAAAAAAAATAATCAACTAAGTATATTGAATATCATAAGGATGGCGCATTATTGATAGCAGAGCAAATGACGCATTATTGATAGCAGAGCAAATGACGCATTATTGATGCCACAACAAATTTCTCAAAAAACAAATCAAATCACCCAACAAATCAATCCCGCAAGAGTTCAAAGTCAAATGATGCATTATTGATAGCAGAGCAAATGACGCATTATTGAGCCACAAATGACAAATTTCTCACCCTCACAAAAAACAAATCAAACCCAACAACATCAATCCAGCAAGAGTGAACTTACCTCTAAAGTCAATCGGGAGCTCCGAAGTCAGTCAGCTTGAAAGAATGTGGTGGACATTAGAGAGGATTCTTTCGTAGTGGAGACTCCATCTCTACCAAAATCGAGGAACAACTGCAGCAGCACGAAAAAGAGATATGCTACTTTGCTTTCATCTGGAATCTCTTCTGCTAAACGAAAAAGAGAAGGGGTTTTCACTTGAATCATATAATCAAAACAGGGCAATAGCTAGGTAAAAGCCATTAATCGTCATACCGAGGATACCATAGATCGCAGGCCTCCCAAGGAGCTGATGACAATGGAGCGATTATAGAGTTTGGGAGCTTTGGATCTTTCTAATTGTGGATTTGCATTACATTAAAAAAGAGAGGATTGTGTTCTTGAGTTTTTCACAGAGAGGGAAAAATCTTCAGCTGAAGTTGGGTTTCCAAACGGGTCAGATTTCAACCTGGTTCTACATGCACCCTCTTTTAAAAACTCACCGTTGGATGAAATCCAACGGCTCTTACATACTCCTCAAAAAAAAACCCCTTATAACTTTCCACTCACTATAGAAGCACTCCTGAAACTGAGGGGTCCCCATTCGGAAGAAAGCTGAAGTCCACTTGCGGCTGTCCAAACTACACCCCTAAACTCACCCAGCGCGCCTGGGAGTTTATACTCGCCTTTCTACTTTATTTTTGTGGTGAGGGTTGTACGTGTTAGAAGAAATCAATAAATAGCTTATATTATGGAATCACTATATTAATACACGATTATGATTATAAAATGTAGATAGTACTTGTTTCAAGTGATCCATTTTTTTGCATCACGTTGGGTCTCACTTTGTGGCCGCTTTCTTTTTTTGTTTCTGGTCAAGACTTTGTGGCCGCTTTCTTTTTTGTTTCTTGTTGAGACTTTGTGGCCGCTTTTGTAGAAAAAACTAAATTGATTCACGCATGTCACCTTTGAAGAGTCTAAGTTCGCAATGAAATGAAGGAGGGGCCAAAACTGGCTTCGACAGAATCACGAACACATATTCAAAAGTCACTTCGATCGCTCGTCTAGATTGATGACGACAAGAGTGATGACGACAAGTTTGCTTATTAATGGTACATTTCTCACACATTTAACTTATATCAAAATAATTATTATAGTAATTATACTCTTCCTGTCTCGCTTGCCTTTTCAACTACAAGTCACTGAGGACGAAAACGAATATTTTCCAAATTATCCGAATACATTGACTTTCTATTTCCAAACTTCTGAACCCAACTGATCTCACGACAGCGAAAAAAACAAAAACAAAGTTGGATGCATAAATTTCAAACCCCTTTGCTAGCTATAGGAGGAGTATAGGAGGAGCAAGCTTTGGGGTGATCGGGAAGACTTTACAAGTGAATATTTACCACTCCGGTAGAAATCAGGTCTTGTCTCCTAATCTAAAGGATTAGCGGGGATAAGACAGATCTCTAAGTTAGTAGACGTTTCACATTAAATCTAGTAATTTCCAATTTAACCTAGTCTAGTCCTGCACACGTGGCCTAGCCTACACATTTTTTCAATCAACTTCTTGAACCCAACATATGTCAAGAACATGTTGGCGTAGACCTTGCCTTTCCTCCTTTGTATCAGGTAATTTATTGCTGTTCAGACAAAACTACAAAGCAGTTTACACATGTTCTGATTTGTCCTCCGCCCCTGGTTTTAAAAAACCTTACGCCTTTCATCCAACACTTTTATTGAGATATCATGGTTTGGATCTTAGGGGGCATGAACACTACTAGCATGCCGTCTCTCTCTCTCTCTCTCTCTCTCTCTCTCTCTCTCTATATATATATATATATATATATACACCCTTCCACCCCAAGTAGCTAGCTAGCTAAGAACAAATCATTCAGTTTCATAATTTCTAAACAGATGGTTAGGATTGTGAAAGTGTTGACAAAGACCGATGTCTCTCAAAGACTTGGAGTCACCAAGGAAATGCTGAATGAGCTGCCTCTTTACAATCGAAAGCGTGATGTCGTATGCTTGAAATATGATGTCAGTGTTACATGAAAAAATATAAAAAGTTATATTGTGACTTGGTCTATAAATAGAAACAAATAGTGCGGGCTTATAGAGCAAATTATCAATCCATGGAGATGGAGCACGACTGTTTTGAGAAAGTGTTGACGGCTAGCGATGTTAAAAGACTTGGGGTGACCACCACCATGCTTGAAATGCTGCCTCCGGAGGATCCAGATCGTGATATCCCGATCAGAGTTTTCGACAACCAGAAGCGCAAGGATTACGAGTTCAAATTATCCAGCAGACAACGGGGCAGATCCAAAAACCCAGTTTTCCAGTCTAGAGGATGGAGAGTGTTTGCCAATGACAGAGGGATTGCAGCTGGGGACGTGCTCTATTTCTGGGCGGAGGAAGACCCATTTCATGGAACTCAATATCGCATTGCACTCTACAAGCCAAATCTTTTCCCTCATCTTTAATAATTCCAATCAGGTGTTGTAACCCATATTAGGTATTTATCTTGTATTGACGTAGGGCTTAAATAGTCTCTGCAAACTAAAATAAGTAAAATAACTAAATGCTGTTGTGAAGCCTAATGTCCTCTTCCAGCCCTACGTCATGTATCTCTCTTGGTATGGAAGGTATAGCAAAGTTTATGGATTTGTAAGCTAATAAGCTCTCATTTCCTTAATAAACAAATGTTTTATATAACTAACTTTAAGTGTTTTTATATTTATTGTCACTCCCGGGATGGGCTCCTCCGTAGCACGATATTATTCGCTTTGGGCCCACTTTTGCCCTTATAGTTTTGTTTCTGGGAACTCATGAGCAACTTTTCATTGGATCACCCGTCATGGGATTGCTCTTTCTTATAATAAGATTTCTTATAGTCCACCACTCCAGAAGGGACATTTCGATAGTCGATATAGTCGAGGAGGTTTTCAGCAGTTTATCCTTTATTATAATAATAAGATTTCTATTATCAAAATAATAAGATTTCTTTTGTGATTTCTCAATTTCTCCCTCTTCTAGATTTGGCATGTAAAGATTACTAGCACACTCGTTCTCTCTCAGTTTCAATATGCGGAGCCCGCTACTCTTGCATACCGTGTGTGTACAGTGTATGCATATGTTATTAATTAACCGAGACTTTGACCACAGCAATCATCAATTAACCGAAATTAAAAAGTAAAATAATTAATGACTCATGACTCATGAGTATAAGAAAGATGATGCCATAGATTGAATGGCACATCTAGAGTTCTTTATTAGTTAGACAACAATCTGTACGCCCAATGTATTTCCATTTTTTTCAGTTAGCCTCGTGATGGTAAAAATCTATAAACTTAATCTGCATAGTGGGCTGTCTGGGCTACAGCCCATACAAATATTTTTGTATTTGTAATATCATGTAGTATTCTTAAGAGGGAAAAAAAAAGCTTAATGGAGATAGCCCATTCCAAAGTTGAAAGCAGAGCCCACTCATCAAGCCTTAGTCAAACTGACGTGGGTTCAATGCGAAGGATGCTAAGTCGTGCTTCGAATTGTCAATGCCTAACTTCAACTTCAGGAGATCAACCACGCCCCGGCCCATGCCTGATGATCACCCACTTTGTGTTCCTCCAAACCTTGGTCCTGGTACTAAGGAGCAGAATTGTGTTTTGGGAGATTCACTATTATACCCAATATAGGAGCCCAAATTATAAAATACCTCATATAAAATGGATTTTAGAAATACACTCAAAGCCCATTTACAACATAACAAAGAGGTTTTTAACTTCTTATAAATTACAAAACTGCAATCAATTTCTTAAAACAAGCCCAATCCCAAAATCTCATAAAATACTCAAAACACTCAATAGACATCAAATTAATTTAATAATCAATATTAAATTCAATAAGGTTTGGGTTTGTTTATAGAAATTGAATGATGTAGGGTTTATTTGTAATATTAGTGCTAAGAATAGGTATATCACTAAATATCCCGTGTTTTTATGGGTTGTTCTACTATGATCGCAGTTCCACTTACGGCCCCTTTGGATTTGATACGTTTACATTTTTATCTGAGGAAGGGCAACTAGCTATCCCTAATGTGGCATTTGGGTGGGGACTCTTCAATGACTATGTTCATGGTCATGATAATCCAATAAGAGGCAGGGGTCACCCCCACAGGTATTCAAAAATTATTATTATTAAGATATTATCATGGAGCTTGATGTGGAAAACAGAGAGCGGAAATTATGGGTGTGGAGCTTAAGGAATGTGGGAAAAATAAAAAACAAGTGTCATGATAGGCGTTTATAAAAGGAAACAAGGGGACAAAAAAATCACGACTCAGAAAACAAAAAACCTAGCTCCGCTAATTTTCTTCCTTCCCATTTGTCTCGATCTAAACTCAGAAATAAAATGGCATCTTCATTCCCATTTTCTCTTGATCTATTGCCACACCTAATTTTCATATATGAGACTTATCATATTTTAGCACTGACTAGGTGTATTATTTTTTGTTATTAATTAAATTCACTCGTGCAGTCGAGTTTTATTGTAAGGTAAATCCAAACCCATGCAATTTTGAATTCCTAAATCCGTACTGTACTTGTAACAATTCGCAATATGCATCAATCATTTATTATTATACTTACGTCAAAGTATATATCATGTTTCATGAAGTTCCTGAGATGGCGCTTGATGATTCCCTTAAAGATTTCTTTGACTTTAAATTTAAAATTTGAAGAATTAGTAGTAGTGGTCCAAGATTCCAAGTACGTCGGCTGTATGAAGCAGGCATGCATATATATAATATATATATATATATATATATATATAAAATAAAAGACTTCTTTATACTGGGCCTTTCCATCATTCTTAATTAAACCCTTTTCAGCGTCCATTCGTGCGCACTTGTATCTGTTGAACCTATATAAATCGGATATTTGTGATATCTCTATTTGTCCTCCAATCCAACAGGTGTCTTTTTTTCTGTTAAAAAAATTCAATTTTTTTTCTATAAATATATACCAATATTCTTCACTTTCCATATTAAATCTTCATACATTTTCTTCTTCCAATATTATTCACTTTCCACACCCAATTTTCTTCACTTTCCAAATTTCATTTGTGTAAAAATACAAATGGCATCTTCCATAGAATCCAGAGGGTCATGGACAACCATAAAAGATGTTTTATTGTGTGAATGTTGGGTACAAATTAATTTTGTGAAAGATCGCATTCGGCTCGTATGGAAATGGTCTTGGCTACTAGGTGAAAAATCTTGAATATATAGTTAGGGAAATTGAGAGATGCGTTGGCAAAAGCGAATGACAACGTTCGAAGCGGTGAAAATCTTGGCAACAAGGTAAATTATTGTAATTGTCATTTTATTAAATTTAACGTCCTTTTTTTGTTGTTGAATTTTTCTTGCATTTTTAATTTTTATTATATTTATTATAGATTATGCAAGCACAAATGTGGTTCGGTGCCATTGGCCAAGGTAAAAAATCTTTCAACAATCACCAATGTTGGAAAGTGGTGAAAAATTGTTTGAGATTCAAAATTATTCCTATGGGTCCAGCCATTGTGTTGAATGAGACGCCGCTCTACGATTCAACGGCATCAGATTCGCCATTGGATTCCTCAATGAATCAAGACTTACCAATGCAAAGGGACCTGAGGCTTATTGGGAGAAATACGACAAAGGCTAAGAGAGAGAGTAATTCCACCAATGATACTGCTAAATTTTTGGAGCAAATTGCTCTAAATTGCACAATGAGAATTGAGAGAGATATGAAAAGAGATGCAGATGAGAAGGCAAGATATGAAACATTTGCAAGAGAAAGGGATGCACGCAAACAAGACATGGAGAAGAAGGATTGGGAAACCATGGTCATGGATACGAGCCATATGTCCTCTGAAACAAAGTCATTTTGGAAACCATGGCTGTCACGTCCCAACCCTTGGATTTACGAAACCTTGGGTTAAGACGTGATTCACACCTTAATTATAGAATTTAATAAAACCTATAACTAAAATGTGAAGAAAACATTTAAATAAATAAAATAAATATTTCACATAAAATATTCAGTAGAAACGCGGAAACGATAACATTTGAAACCATAAAAATTTTACATTATTTTACAAGTTAGAACTACTCAAGAGTTCACTAAAAGAGTAGCTCATTATTTAACCACAAGCTATATTACACTTTATAGAAATGCCAAAAATCATCACAAGCTCTAGATTTCAAGTTCGGTACTTGCAAAATCTATTAGGGGGTGAGCGAAACCACAGCTCAGTAGGGACATAAACATTTTCACAATAAATTGATATAATTAAATTAAGTGACTAATAATCAAGCAGCTAAATTTCACATTATTAGTAACAATACATGAATGCTCTTCATCTAATCCCGTTAATTCATATAATTGGACAAGCAGACCTGCACATCCCATACCATGCTTATACCACTTGGTCCTGAATGCCCATTTATATTAACTAACACCCATATCAATCATCCCGTAATTCCCCTTTTGTTAGTCATGTTGTCTAACTCCCTTTCGCCAAGTCTCGAATCACCCAATAAAACCATGTGCACTGTGGAATCTCTGAGACCTGGTACTTGCCAAGAGTTAGACTCAACTACACAAAAGATCATTCCCATTACCCTCTTTTTTCACCATTATTTTCTCAACCCAAGAACTCCAAATAATTTCCATGACATTATATAGTTCACATATTTCATAAAAACAATGTAATTATTTAAATATCACCAATGTACATATAATCATGCCCACATTATTCAAACAGTTAAGATTATGTAAACACCCAATACAAGTACCACACATAATATAATGCTCACAAAATTTAATTAAATCAATCTCTGAAAAAGGCTCCCAAGAAACCCTCTACCTTGATTCCAATGTTTTTACAACGTAAGATAACTCTACAATCCAACACCTTGAGTTCCTCCAAAGTCTCTCTTGTTCTACTAACACTCTTTCTCTCTATTACTTTTTTGTTCTATCAAGAACTACCATGTATGTCATTCAAACAATCAAAGCAAATTATTCCTATTTATAGTAGCTAAAAGGCAGCAACTAGTTGATTTTAATTGGTGACGGGATATGTGCCTTAACAGATAAGACTTTTGCTCCAAGTTTTCACCAGCTCATGCTTACGAAAGGATTAGTCATCATAAATAATGACACTTGTAAAGCAAAGTGAAATAGCAAATTGCAAACAAAAAAAACTTAGCCTAAAAGATTTGCACGTCACAAACCAAGTAAGGAAAAACTGGCACATGTTGTTTAAAAGATATACTAAACATTCAACTCTATCTAAGATTCATTCCCCCTAGTCTTTTAGATTTTTACCAATAATTATTCTCATGCAATAGGTGAATGACACATGCATCATAAACATAGACATATATAAGTACTATTATAATAGTATTCATAATAATTAGTATAAAATTATAACAACAGTATTTACATATATGTACCAAAATAATTACTCATATAAATATAACCAATATATATTTATATATTTTTTAAAATACGGATCTTCACAATGGCCATGCACACGAGCCATATGTCTTCCATGGCTAGTGCAATTACAGTCAATGCTTCCTGTCATGCCTAGGAAATCTCGAGCTTCGGCTTTTTGTAGAAGCATTTGGAGGTCCCTAGGCGTAGGTTTGCGGAGGTAATCCCTCATCTAGAGAGTTTCTATTGCATCACATAATCTGACCAAGCGCTCTAAAATAGTGGATTTCCCCATTCTAGCAATCTCATCCATCTCGTCTGCAGATGCACCAAACGCCAGTATCCATAAAAAAAGCTATAAGCTTTTGCTCCAGAAGACGGCCTAAAACCCCAGTAGCATCACACGTATGAACGAAGTATGCATCGTAATTGTTTATTGAACAAATAAAGTTACATTTTATATCTCCCTCGAAAATCAACAGTAGAATCAACAGTAGCTTTCGTATATGAAATGAGGTTAATTGGGTAACTAAAATTCATCCAGCTACTGTCCCAATAACCAACTGCTGGAACCAAAATGAAAAAGCAAACTATATCCATGTGACTCACTTGTCTTGTCATTGAAAGTGATGAAGAAGCAAACTATAAGCTTTTTCTTCTAATGAGTATTTTGAACTCCATCAAGCTCTGATGGAAAATGAAATGTTTTTTTAAAAATAAAGCATATAGTCAGTGCACATCGGGATCGGGAAATAAATTTTTCTGTATACTGATAATTACATATAACAACCATATCTTTTATCACCATACATATGCTCCCAGCTACTTCATTACTTCCAAAGAGAAGACAAGTGAGCCGCATGTCACCCCAATATAAGGAGTTACATCCATGATGACATGCAACAAAGGTTCCAAAATCACCAAAATTACGGTTCAACTGATAGTATCTTAGTGGCTGAATTGATGGTATAATGTTGGCTTCTTCAAGTCCTTACAAACATATTACAACAAAAACAGTTTCTGACAGAATAACCCGAGCTCTTTTTAACATAATCTCAGATATATAACAACAAGGACATTAACATTAAATTTAACAAAATAAGGAAAATAAATCCACAAAAATTGAACATCTTTGTACAACAGAGATATCCAAGATAAGTTAAGAGGCAGTCTCGAAGGGGAAGTCAGGGGATTACCTCAGGCTCCAGATCAAGAAAGAAGGAAAAAGTACTGACCTAACCATTCCCCAAAATGAAAAACAGACACAAACAGACCAAACATTTTTTTTCTTCATATTAGACCAAACAGCTCTTTAACAGATGTTCCTTCTAACGAAAGAATATTCGGTCGGAAAGACATTTCAACTTACAAATGCTTGTTGGGAGACACCCAAACTTTTTGCAATTTGACAATACAATTTTGACGAGACTAAAGAGAAATTCGATTGATGAGGGTAGCTCTTTAATATTTGTTCCTTTTAATGAAAGAAACTTCAGATTTCCCAGAGGCTCCAAGATTTCTGGGAAGTACTTGAATTTTGAGCAACCGTCGAGATCAAGATTTATAAGAGATTTTAACTTACAAATGGTCGATGGAAGACTCACAAATCTTTTGCAATCAAGTAGTCGAATTGTATTGAGACCAAAGAGATACTCGATTGATGAGGGCAATATTTCTATTTTTGCCCCTATCGTTTCTAACACTGTTAGATCCCTAGGAAGCTCCGAAAACTTGCCAAGACATAAGCAGCCCTCTAGACTGAAACCAGAGGGTAGTTTCAGCTTACAACTGCTGAGTAAGAAATCTTTTCGTGAGACCAAACTGATGAAGGCAATTCCTTTATTGCAGCTTTAGACAAATTTAAGAATTCAATGTTGCTTGGCATCTGCGGAAGATATTTGAGATTCGAGCATTCTCCCAGGTCAAGATGAGTAAGCTTGTCAAGACACTGAAAATACGAAGGCATTTGAACCAAACTTGTACAGCCAAAAAGATTTATATGCACCAATTTTCGACTTTGAGAGAGATCTGGGACTTCAATAAGATGAGTGGAGAAACTAAGATCCATCACTTTTTAAGTTCTCAAGATTCTGTCATAAATAAAGAGAAATGACAAGACTTAATAACTTAGACAGAAGAAATAATCACACTAAATTTGATACAATAAGCGGAATAAGCATATTTAAAAAGAAATTACACTAAAATGAAAATAATTTTAAAAAGTTAAAGTCAATACCAAGAAGCTCCAGATCTGCGAGGAGAAGACCAGCTTCACCTAAACTAATAAAAAATCAAAATTCTCCAAGCAAATCAGTGAGCTGATTAGAGATATGCCAAAGAGACTAGAGCGATTTGAGATCTAGCTTTTGAGCGAATGCGCGACGGAGAGATTCGTGCGACATAAAGAGAGACGAGCAACAGACAGAAATTCGTTAGAGTTGTGAGAGGAGAGAGGAGAGAGCATAGACGAGAGAAGGGAGAGAAACAAGCTCAGAATCGATGAGCTCAACAAAAGAAAATTAAAAAGGGAAGATGCTTTGTGAAGTATGCATTTTTCTCTCTATAAACATGCTTCACAGTACAGTGCTGGATTTCTGTCATAAGTGCTCCACAGCTAGCAATTACCACTCCGCACTATTTAACTACTGTAGTACCCAGCAAATACATCTCCCCTTCAAATATTGCCACATGTCAATTTTTGTACAGCCAGCCCCCTCTTCCGTCTCTCCCTCTCCCTCTCCCTCTGTTCTCTCTCCTTCTAGAGCAGCGCGGGCCGCCCTATCTTAAATACCTTAAAGAAATTAATTGTAAACTTTGTTACCATTTCTCATTACTGTGGCTGCATAGTTGAGCCCAACATACAAGATCTCATAGTTAGTATCCACAACTCATGTCGAGTACCTGCATCTGCATCTGGGTTAATTAATGATATCATGACAAGTTCAGAAAATCCTCCAGCCATCTTCATAACAACAGCAAAGTTCATTTTTTTTCATTCAACATATATAAGCCACAATGCTAGTACATTATAACAGTACTTGCAACAAGTACACACAGACAAACACCCAAGGAATAACAATTACTAAATGCACGGATGATGATTGATTCACAGTGACACTTACATGAAGACGAAGAAGCACACACTCTATGAATGACCCACTAGACCATAGAGATTGGTAGGGCTTATGGATTATTATAACACAAAACAAACATGTTGCTGCTGCTAACTCATTAATTTCTAGACACCATGAAGATCTGGGTGGCCGGGAAAAAGATGAGGTTTAAACAGTGCAATTCGGTATTGTGTTTGGTAAGTTGGGTTTTCCTCCTCCCAGAAGCAGACGACGTCCCCAACAGCAATGCCTCTGTCGTTGACAAAGGCTCTCCATCCTCCAGACTGGAGAACTGGCTTCAGGTATCTGCCGGGCCTAACAGCTAACTTGAACTCGTAATCCCGATGTGTTTGGTTATCGAAAACGTTGATTGAGATATCATTAC